GGTCTGAATTATTACTGAGGTCTGATTTATTACTGAGGTCTAAATTATTACTGAGGTCTGTCTTATAACAAAGGTCTGACTTATTACTGAGGTCTGATTACTTACTGAGGTCTGATTTATTACTGAGGTTTGATTGATTACTGGGGTCTGACTTATTACTGAGGTCTGAATTATTACTGATTCATTACTGAGGTCTGATTTATTACCGAGTTGACTTATTACTGAGGTCTGACTTATTACTGGGGTCTGATTACTGAGGTCTGATTATTATTACTGAGGTCTGACTTATAACAAAGGTCTGACTTATTACTGAGGTCTGATTGATTACTGAGGTCTGAATTATTACTGAGGTTTGATTTATTACTGAATTACTGAGGTCTGACTTATTACTGAGGTCTGACTTATTACTGAGGTCTGACTTATTACTGAGGTCTGATTAAATACTGAGGTCTGAATTATTACTGAGGTCTGAATTATTACTGAGGTCTGACTTATTACTGAGGTCTGATTATTACTGAGGTCTGATTATTACTGAGGTCTGACTTATTACTGAGGTCTGATTATTACTGAGGTCTGATTTATTACTGAGGTCTGAGGTTTGATTTATCACTGAGGTCTGATTTATTTTATTACTGAGGTCTGACTTATTACTGAGGTCTGATTTAATACTGAGGTCTGAATTATTACTGAGGTCTGACTTATTACCGAGTTGACTTATTACTGAGGTCTGACTTATTACTGAGGTCTGATTAATTACTGAGGTCTGATTATTACTGAGGTCTGATTTATTTCTAAGGTCTGGCTTATTACTGAGGTCTGATTTATTATTGAGGTCGGACTGATAACAACAGAGGTCTGTCTTATAACAAAGGTCTGATTTATTACTGAGGTCTGACTTATTACTGAGGTCTGACTTATTACTGAGGTCTGATTAAATACTGAGGTCTGAATTATTACTGAGGTCTGAATTATTACCGAGGTTTGATTTTATTACTGTGGTCTGACTTATTACTGAGGTCTGACTTATTACTGAGGTCTGACTTATTACTGAGGTCTGACTTATTACTGAGGTTTGATTGATTACTGAGGTCTGAATTATTACTGAGTCTGTACTGTCTGATTAATTACTGAGGTCTGACTTATTACTGAGAGATCTATTACTTTGGTCGGAATTACTGAGGTCTGATTACTTACTGAGGTCTGATTTATTACTGAGGTCTGATTTATTACTGTGGTCTAAGGTTTGATTAATTACTGAGGTCTGATTAATTACTGAGGTCTGATTTATTACTGAGGTCTGATTTACTACTGAGGTCTGACTTATTACGGAGGTCTGATTATTACTGAGGTCTGACTTATTACTGAGGTCTTACTTATTACTGAGGTCTGACTTATTACTGCCTTCTGAATTTTTACTGAGGTCTGACTTATTACTGAGGTCTGACTTATTACTGAGGTCTGACTTATTACTGAGGTCTGATTTATTACTGAGGTCTGATTTATTACTGAGGTCTGACTTATTACTGAGGTGAGATCTATTACTTTGGTCGGATTCATTACTGAGGTCTGATTTATTTCTAAGGTCTGGCTTATTACTGAGGTCTGATTTATTATTGAGGTCGGACTTATAACAAAGGTCTGTCTTATAACAAAGGTCTGACTTATTACTGAGGGTCTGAGGTCTGACTTATTACTGAGGTCTGATTTATTACTGAGGTCTGACTTATTACTGAGGTCTGATTTATTACTGAGGTCTGAATTATTATTGAGGTCTGACTGATTACTGAGGTCTGATTTATTACTAAGGTCTAAATTATTACTGAGGTCTGACTTATAACAGAGGTCTGTCTGAGGTTTATTACTGAGGTCTGATTATTACTGAGGTCTGAGGTCTGACTTATTAGTGAGGTCTGACTTATTAGTGAGGTCTGATTTATTACTGTGGTCTGACTTATTAGTGAGGTCTGAATTATTACTGAGGTCTGACTTATTAGTGAGGTCTGATTTATTACTAAGGTCTGGCTTATTACTGAGGTCTATTATTACTGAGGTCTGATTTATTACTGAGGTCTGATTTATTACTGAGGTCTGATTATTACTGAGGTCTGAGGTCTTATTACTGAGGTCTGATTTATTACTGAGGTCTGACTTATTACTGAGGTCTGATTTATTACTGAGGTCTGACTTATTACTGATGTCTGATTTATTACTGAGGTCTGACTTATTACTGAGGTCTGATTTATTACTGAGGTCTGACTTATAACAGAGGTCTGATTTATTACTGAGGTCTGACTTATCACTGAGGTTTGATTTTATAACAAAGGTTTGATTTATTACTGAGGTCTGACTTGAGGTCTGACTTATTACTGAGGTCTGATTGATTACTGAGGTCTGAGGTCTGCCTTATTACTGAGGTCTGACTTATAACAAAGGTCTGACTTATTACTGAGGTCTGATTACTTACTGAGGTCTGATTTATTACTGAGGTTTGATTGATTACTGGGGTCTGACTTATTACTGAGGTCTGATTTATTTCTAAGGTCTGACTTATTACTGAGGTCTGAATTATTACTGAGGTCTGAATTATTACTGAGGTTTGATTTATTACTGAGGTCTGAATTATTACTGAGGTTTGATTTATTACTGCGGTCTGAATTATTACTGAGGTCTGACTTATAACAGAGGTCTGACTGATAAGAAAGGTCTGACTTATTACTGAGGTCTGATTACTTACTGAGGTCTGATTTATTACTGAGGTCTGATTAATTACTGAGGTCTGACTTATTACTGAGGTGAGATCTATTACTTTGGTCGGATTCATTACTGAGGTCTGATTTATTTCTAAGGTCTGGCTTATTACTGAGGTCTGATTTATTACTGAGGTCTGACTTATTAGTGAGGTCTGACTTATTAGTGAGGTCTGATTTATTACTGAGGTCTGACTTATTACTGAGGTCTGATTGATTACTGAGGTCTGAATTATTACTGAGGTTTGATTTATTACTGTGGTCTGACTTATTACTGAGGTCTGACTTATTACTGAGGTCTGAATTATTACTGAGGTCTGAATTATTACTGAGGTCTGAATTATTACTGAGGTTTGATTTATTACTGTGGTCTGACTTATTACTGAGGTCTGATTTATTACTGAGGTCTGAATTATTACTGAGGTCTGATTTATTACTGAGGTCTGAATTATTACTGAGGTCTGAATTATTACTGAGGTCTGAATTATTACTGAGGTCTGACTTATTACTGAGGTCTGACTTATAACAAAGGTCTGACTTATTACTGAGGTTTGATTGATTACTGAGGTCTGAATTATTACTGAGGTTTGATTTATTACTGCGGTCTGACTTATTACTGAGGTCTGACTTATTACTGAGGTCTGATTTATTACTGAGGTCTGAATTATTACTGAGGTCTGACTTATTACTGAGGTCTGATTTATTACTGAGGTCTGACTTATTACTGAGGTCTGATTACTTACTGAGGTCTGATTTATTACTGAGGTTTGATTGATTACTGGGGTCTGACTTATTACTGAGGTCTGATTCATTACTGAGGTCTGGCTTATTACTGAGGTCTGATTGATTACTGAGGTCTGAATTATTACTGAGGTTTGATTTATTACTGCGGTCTGAATTATAAGTGAGGTCTGAATTATTACTGAGGTCTGAATTATTACTGAGGTCTGACTTATTACTGAGGTCTGATTTATTACTAAGGTCTAAATTATTACTGAGGTCTGACTTATTACTGAGGTCTGATTTATTACTGAGGTTTGATTGATTACTGGGGTCTGACTTATTACTGAGGTCTGATTCATTACTGAGGTCTGGCTTATTACTGAGGTCTGATTTATTATTGAGGTCGGACTTATAACAAAGGTCTGACTCATTTCTGAGATCTGATTTATTACTGAGGTTTGATTTATTACTGTGGTCTGACTTATTACTGAGGTCTGATTTATTACTGGGGTCTGATTAATTACTGCGGTCTGATTTATTACTGAGGTCTGATTAATTACTGAGGTCTGACTTATTATATAGGTCTGACTCATTTCTGAGGTCTGATTTATTACTGAGGTCTGATTTATTACTGAGGTCTGAATTATTACTGAGGTCTGACTTATAACAGAGGTCTGTCTTATAACAAAGGTCTGACTTATTACTGAGGTCTGATTACTTACTGAGGTCTGATTAATTACTGAGGTCTGACTTATTACTGAGGTCTGTCTAATTACTGAGGTCTGATTGATTACTGAGGTCTGACTTATCACTGAGGTTTGATTTATTACTGAGGTCTGACTTATTATTGAGGTCTGATTTATTACTGAGCTCTGACTTATTACTGAGTTCTGATTAATTACTAAGGGTCTGATTAATTACTGAGGTCTGACTTATAACAGAGGTCCGATTTATTACTTAGGTCTGATTAATTACTGAGGTCTGACTTATTACTGAGGTCTGATTTATTACTGTATTTCACAGCTTCTGCTTTGTATCCTAAATCTAACTACTTCCAAAAAAATATCAGATTGGCATTTTCAAAATGGATCTTATTTATTTAAATATATCTCACTTCCCTCAAAATAATTGGCAAATATTTCAAGACAATTTTTATCTATGTAAAAAATGTTTCATTAGTAATGCACTTAAGTTGCCTATGTCATGCATGTCAAGAGGAACATCAGTCATTAAACACTTTCTTGGTGTTTTTTGGTGTTTTTTTCTGTTTATAAACACTTGTTAATTTCCAGAAAACATAATTTCATGTTATAGACTATAACAGTATTAAAAATCCAAATATATTAAAGAGACTCTCTTATGATAAAAAAAATTCTAAAAGAAAACTTGAACAAAATGTGATCATTTAAAAATATTTTCATAATACAGAACAGGATAATTTATCTGTTAAATGGAAACATGGTCTAGGTACACTCTAATAGTTTGCCCTGCTACAAGTTTATAGTAGAAACCATCTGTAGGCATACACACCTCTAAAGCACTTTGTAGATTATTTTGATTTTTCTCTCGTTCCATTTTCAGAAAATCCTCAAACTCTTTCTGTAAAGTAGGAAACATAAAATTTCAACGGGACAATTTAATGAAATATTAAACTGTGATATTTACAAGGTAATTTAGCTAGATGTAATGGCAGATCATATGCAGCAGTCACTTCAAGGACACACTACCTTCAAATGGGCCTGGCTTTTCACAGGGCCATAAACCAAACAAACATACACAATACAATATAAGAGCATTTTAAAATGTGAAGGTGGAGGTTATCCATTTTCCCATTTTCTGTTTCATACACTGCATTATGATTTAATCAAGATCAAAATCTGGAACATTTTTATACCTGTATCTCTTCAGCCTTTTCTTTCAGAGCAGTCATCTTTGATTCTGCCATTTTAATTCGTTCCTCTGCCAATTTCTCTTCAAAATGAGATCGCTGTTTAAGCAGAAAAAAACAGCAATGATATATCATCTGTTGCCAACGACAATCAAACATACTAGAGAGGCTGATTTTATTGAGGCACTTTTAAACTTTTAAAAACTCCCCATTGTAGTTCCGTTCCATTAACACCAAATGCATATTAAGAGACCTACTATATATTATATATATACTATATATTACTATATATATTAAGAGTACTACTTTTAGAAAACACTTTTATATGACTCCATACTTCAGTGCTGTTCCTTTTGTATCTCTTGGATCACAAAATCTTCAAGAAAAAGCCAAGTATTTTTCAATACAGGGTTGTAGTGAACAAAAACATTATACTGCTGAATGTAGAAATCATTGTACATGAACTGATAACAGAAGATGGCTTCTGTAAATTGTAATAACTTTATAATGTTTTATTTCTTTTCAAAAGCATTTTATAATGATAAGGATTCTATTGCCTTTTACCTGTTTGTGAATAAAGGGCCAGAACTCTGTACAAATCAAAATAAAACACCCAACCTGTGTTAATGAAATCCTTTTCATGCTCAAGCACGAAATCTGTGCTCGAGCCTCAATCCATCTTTTTTTCAAACTCCCATAAATCATGAAATAGCAGTAAAAATGGGAAACCCTAAACACTGACAATAACATCAGAGTCTTTTTGAAATTCCTTCAATTCACTGAATCTTGAATTCATTAAATATGTATTCAGATTAATCTGATTTATTACCTAAAGAATTTGAGTCTGTTCCTGAGAACAAAAGGTATATTTGCGCATGAAAGTGTTTCCATAAATAGTAGGCCAGATTTCAGATAATTCACAAACCTTCCGCCAATCTATTCCCTGAGGTACATGTTTTCAGAACCCTTACCTGCTCACTGAGCATGCTCTTAAACTTGTCTTCCTGTTCCTGTATCAACACACGTACTTGTCCTTCAATTATTTCTCGCTCGCTTCGCAGGGTTGTCTGCATCAGATCCTGTGATAAAAACACAGAGGTTTGATCTCTACACAAATAACATATTCAAAACTGTGAATATTATGAAAGAATTAGACAGATATACGAACACAGAAGTTTAAAGAGAGCCAAGATATACTGGCTGTAAATATATATTGGAATGAACCATATGAGCTACATGCATGTACAAGGTTTTAGTAGAATTTTGATGGAAATATTTCCATACAGATTTCAACCCATTTTAATTGGCCATGTTTACATTAGTGATGTTGCTTTAAAATTAAAGTATTGTAATACCATCATAATTGTTTTTCATACTTGATTCATTCAAGTTTTAATGCCTCATAATCATGAAATCTTGTAAAAATAACAACTTTGCATAGACATTCTGCTTGTATCCCAAAGTTTTTCATTGTATCGTCGACAAATAGATGACCATATAATATCAAAAATTATAACTTTTGTTTTTTATGAAATGGTCATCATTGACACTATCCTCTTCACTTCCTTAATAAAAAAGGTCCTTTTTATACGTTGGCATCTATGTAGATACAATAGTGGTACAGGAGTAGAATAATATACCTTATATTCCTGTACAACCGTCTTGACCGCAGCCTGACTTTCTGACCGGATCTGTGTCATCTCCTTAATTACAGCTTGGTTAGGTAATGATATCTCTTCCTGTCATTAACAAAAATATAAAGTTGTAACCAGACATTTTTGAAATTTTTACCGAAAAATACCACAGTTTATAAATTAACAGTCAGTTAGGTGGCAATTATAATTAGAGATATATTGCTTTTTTAAGGGTATATGCCACTAAAATCAGTATACCTATGATGCACATGTCAATTTACACATTACACTTGTGATGCACTTGAGATTTTGGGGTATATGATCTAATACACACTGTAGCTGTTTGTGTTAAGGGTATATACTACCAAAATTGCAAAATTTAACTGTGATGTATGTTACTTTTTACCTCTAATTTGTCAAATTAATATGCATTCAAAAGTATCACAAATGAATAAAAATATCATCACTTCATCTGTGCCATACAATTTTTAGGTATGAGTGATTACTTCACTTCCATTCACAGAATTCTAAACATTACTAAACCACTTCACAGTCCATGAAGTAACGTAAGCAAAAGAATAAACAGTTGATAACAGTAATCATACAAAGATTGCATATACATGCTATCATTTACAAGTTTGATAGTAAAGGAGCATTAAGTATCAGTTGGCATGGAGAACTGCTACAAAATTAAACTTCATGGTCTTTCATCTTTATCTTGAACTTAAAAAGAGGACATATTGCAAGGATACAAAAGAATCAAATGACATTTTCTTGTAAATTGTATTCTTCATTATTTCAACGAAGTCTGTATGGTAAAATCTTTTTAAATCAACTTCAATTTTACAAGATTTCCTTTCATAACAAACCAAAGTTTATCACAGAAAATCAAAATCAACTTATCCTTGTTGAAAATGCTTGACCAAACTAAATGTAGGTATTGAATACCATTACCTGTCTATTTGATTTTGGCAGTGCCACACCAGACTAAATGTAGGTATTGAATACCATTACCTGTCTATTTGATTTTGACAGTGCCACACCAGACTAAATGTAGGTATCGAATACCATTACCTGTCTATTTGATTTTGGCAGTGCCACACCAGACTAAATGTAGGTATTGAATACCATTACCTGTCTATTTGATTTTGGCAGTGCCACACCAGACTAAATGTAGGTATTGAATACCATTACCTGTCTATTTGATTTTGGCAGTGCCACACCAGACTAAATGTAAGTATTGAATATCATTACCTGTCTATTTGATTTTGGCAGTGCCACACTAGACTAAATGTAAGTATTGAATACCATTACCTGTCTATTTGATTTTGACAGTGCCACACCAGACTAAATGTAGGTATCGAATACCATTACCTGTCTATTTGATTTTGGCAGTGCCACACCAGACTAAATGTAAGTATGGAATACCATTACCTGTCTATTTGATTTTGGCAGTGCCACACCAGACTAAATGTAGGTATTGAATACCATTACCTGTCTATTTGATTTTGGCAGTGCCACACCAGACTAAATGTAAGTATTGAATATCATTACCTGTCTATTTGATTTTGGCAGTGCCACACTAGACTAAATGTAAGTATTGAATACCATTACCTGTCTATTTGATTTTGGCAGTGCCACACCAGGCAGAAGACTTGAAGATAGGGACGCTGGAGTCATACCAGACGATGGTTTTGGTACTGTTGTCTTTGTAACACTTGTTTGCACTGAATTGAACACGTCTGATTCCCATGTACCTAGTGTAAAGGAATGGTCACTGGACAAGGACGCTTTCCTATCTGATTCAGTCCCAGACGATAATCTTCGGTCGGAAGAAAAAGAATTGGATGCTCTTGATCTACCACTGTTAGACTGATTGGTTTGTGATAAATTTTGTGTCATACCTTGCCTTTCAATTCCGGCAGTGTTTGTTTGATTTTGGCCATGAACAGAACTTTGGTGCAAACTCTCTCCTAGTACAGAGTCAAGATTTGACCCTTTCTGACTATCTATTGAGCTTTGTTTGCCAACAGCAGATGCCAAAGATGGATGACTGCTTTGACTACTGGACACAGGCAAAGATGACAGGAACTGACCATCTAAGATGTTGTTTGCCAATGTCACCTCATCAAGGTTGATGTCCTGGAAAATAAAAGCCATGAAATTGACAACATTAATATACAAGAGGCCCAAGAGGCCTTAACGGTCACCTGAAGAATATATGTCAATAATCTGGGGATTTTAAAATGCTGCAAAAATGTAACAACACTTGTGCAGGACCGTGTGTAAAACATCTGTACCAACTTGGATTTTGAATCGCCCCAAAAAGTTAAAACACTTGCCAGGACCTTCTGTAGAACATTTGTATCAAGTTTAGACATGATCAAACCAGTAGTTCTTGAGTCTTGACAAGAAGTTGAAAATGTCTCAGCAAATCAGAGGCCATGGCAGCCATCTTGGATTTTGAATCAAACCAAAAAGTAACAACACTTATGCAGGACATTGTGCTGAACATCTGTATCAAGTTTGGACATGATCAACTCAGTGGTTCTTGAGAAGAAGTTCAAAATGTATCAGCCAATCTGGGGCCATGGCGGCCATCATGGATGTTTAATTGACCCAAAAAATATAATACTACTAAGCCAGAGCTTGGTACTGAAGCGGCTTCCCATGGGAATGCTTTGTGCCAAGTTTGGTCAAAATCCATCCACTGGTTCTTGAGAAGAAGTCATTTAAATAAGGTTTTTAGATATGGCCCCTTTTACACCCCCTATGGGCCCCAAAGGGGACATAATCACTTTTTTCAACATAATTTCATATGTTCTTGACTAAGGGATGCTTTCTAGCAAATTTGGTTGAAATCTGTCAAAGTTCAATTTTTGACCCTTTTGAGCGCCCCCTAGTGGGGCTGTTTTTGACCAGATTTTTTTTTCATTCGCAAACTTTGTAAACCTTGCCATAAGGACCCTAAATATCAAATATGAACTTAATCTGACGGTTGGTTCATGAGAAGAAGATTTTTAAAGATTTACCTAATTTTACCCCCTTTTTCCCCCTCCTGGGGCCCCTATTAGGGCCACACCCTTTTTCTTCACAAACTTGAAGCGGCTTCCCATGGGGATGCTTTGTGCCAAGTTTAGTCAAAATCCATTCAGTGGTTCTTGAGAAGAAGTTGAATATGTGAAAAGTTAATGACGCACGACGCACGACGACAGACAAATCAATCTTCGGCTCAGGTGACCAAAAAAGCAAACAAAAATAGAAGTATGGTTTAGAGTGACATGAATGAACTGGCCTGCACCCAATGAAAAGTTGGAGCTTTTTATTGGTTTTGAATTTATTTCCTTCAATATATAATTGTTTTAAAATTCTCACTGGAGTCACTGTTCAGTTTGACATCATGCCTCCAACCATAAAATGGCAGGGTATAAAAAATTTAATATAATTTTGAAAAATTTTGTGTTGTGAGACAGTCACTCAGTTTGTGTTATGAGACACAGTTACCCAGTTTGTGTTGTGAGACACAGTCACCCAGTTTGTGTTGTGTCACATGGTCACTCAGTTTGTGTTATGAGACACAGTCACACAGTTTGTGTTGTGAGACACGGTCACTCAGTTTGGTTATGAGACACAGTCACTCAGTCTGTTCTGAGACATGGTCACTCAGTTTGTGTTGTGAGACACAGTCACCCAGTTTGTGTTGTGTCACATGGTCACTCAGTTTGTGTTATGAGACACAGTCACTCAGTTTGTGTTGTGAGACACGGTCACTCAGTTTGGTTATGAGACACAGTCACTCAGTCTGTTCTGAGACATGGTCACTCAGTTTGTTGTATGAGACACAGTCACCCAGTTTGTGTTTTGAGACACAGTCACCCAGTTTGTGTTTGGAGACAGTCACTCAGTTTGTGTTGTGAGACACAGTCACTCAGTTTGTGTTATGAGACACAGTCACTCATGTTTGTGTTCTGAGACACAGTCACTCAGTTTGTGTTGTGAGACAGTCACTTCGTTTGTGTTATGAGACACAGTAACTCAGTTTGTGTTGTTATGAGACACGGTCACTCAGTTTGTGTTCTGAGACACAGTCACTCAGTTTGTGTTTTGAGACACAGTCACTCAGTTTGTGTAATGAGACACAGTCACTCAGTTTGTGTTCTGAGAGACAGTCACTTAGTTTGTGTTGAGACACAGTCACTCAGTCTGTGTTATGAGACACACTGACCTAGTTTGTGTTGTGAGACAGTCACCCAGTTTGTGTTGTGTCACACAGTCACTCAGTTTATGTCCTGAGACAGTCACTCAGTTTTTGTTGTGAGACATAGTCACTCAGTTTGTGTTATGAAACACAGTCACTCAGTTTGTGTTATGAGATACGGTCACTCAGTTTGTGTTGTGTGACACAGTCATTCAGTTTGTGTTCTGAGACACAGTCACTCAGTTTGTGTTGTGAGACACAGTCACTCAGTTTGTGTTATGAGACACAGTCACTCATGTTTGTGTTCTGAGACACAGTCACTCAGTTTGTGTTATGAGACACAGTCACTCAGTTTGTGTTATGAGACACGGTCACTCAGTTTGTGTTATGAGACATAGTCACTCAGTTTCTGTTTCGAGACAGTCACCCAGTTTGTGTTGTGAGACATGGTCACTCAGTTTGTGTTCTGAGACACAGTAACTCAGTTTGTGTTATGAGACATAGTCACTCAGTTTCTGTTTCGAGACAGTCACCCAGTTTGTGTTGTGAGACATGGTCACTCAGTTTGTGTTATGAGACACGGTCACTCAGTTTGTGTTATGAGACATAGTCACTCAGTTTCTGTTTCGAGACAGTCACCCAGTTTGTGTTGTGAGACATGGTCACTCAGTTTGTGTTCTGAGACACAGTAACTCAGTTTGTGTTCTGAGACACAGTCACTCAGTTTGTGTTTTGAGACACAGTCACTCAGTTTGTGTTGTGTCACACGGTCACTCAGATTGTGTTATTAGACACAGTCACTCAGTGTTTTATGAGACATGGTCACTCAATTTGTGTTCTGAGACTCGGTCACTCAGTTTGTGTTCTGAGACAGTCACTCAATTTGTGTTATGAGACACGGTCACTCAGTTTGTGTTATGAGACATAGTCACTCAGTTACTTTTTCGAGACAGTCACTCAGTTTGTGTTGTGAGACACAGTCACCCACTGTGTTGTAAGACACAGTCACCCAGTTTGTGTTATGAGACACACTCACCTAGTTTGTGTTGTGAGACAGTCACCCAGTTTGTGTTGTGTCACACAGTCACTCAGTTTGTGTCCTGAGACACAGTCACTCAGTTTTTGTTGTGAGACATAGTCATTCAGTTTGTGTTATGAAACACAGTCACTCAGTTTGTGTTTTGAGACACAGTCACTCAGTTTGTGTTGTGTCACACGGTCACTCAGATTGTGTTATTAGACACAGTCACTCAGTCTGTTTTATGAGACATGGTCACTCAGTTTGTGTTCTGAGACTCGGTCACTCAGTTTGTGTTCTGAGACAGTCACTCAGTTTGTGTTATGAGACACGGTCACTCAGTTTGTGTTATGAGACATAGTCACTCAGTTTCTGTTATGAGACAGTCACTCAGTTTGTGTTGTGAGACACAGTCACCCACTGTGTTGTAAGACACAGTCACCCACTGTGTTGTAAGACACAGTCACCAAGTTTGTGTTATGAGACATGGTCACTCAGTTTGTGTTCTGAGACACGGTCACTCAGTTTGTGTTATGAGACATAGTCACTCAGTTTCTGTTTCGAGACAGTCACTCAGTTTGTGTTGTGAGACACAGTCACCCACTGTGTTGTAAGACACAGTCACCCAGTTTGTGTTGTGAGACATGGTCACTCAGTTTGTGTTACGAGACACAGTAACTCAGTTTGTGTTCTGAGACACGGTCACTCAGTTTGTGTTCTGAGAGACAGTCACTTAGTTTGTGTTGTGAGACACAGTCACTCAGTCTGTGTTATGAGACACAGTCATTCAGTTTGTGTTCTGAGACACAGTCACTCAGTTTGTGTTTTGAGACATAGTTACTCAGTTTGTGTTGTGTCACACGGTCACTCAGTATGTGTTATTAGACACAGTCACTCAGTTTGTGTTCTGAGACATAGTCGCTCAGTTTGTGTTCTGAGACTCGGTCACTCAGTTTGTGTTCTGAGACAGTCACTCAATTTGTGTTATGAGACACGGTCACTCAGTTTGTGTTATGAGACATAGTCACTCAGTTTCTGTTTCGAGACACAGTCACTCAGTTTGTGTTGTGAGACACAGTCACCCACTGTGTTGTAAGACACAGTCACCAAGTTTGTGTTATGAGACATGGTCACTCAGTTTGTGTTCTGAGACACGGTCACTCAGTTTGTGTTCTGAGACATAGTCAATCAATTTGTGTTATGAGACACAGTCACTCAGTTTGTGTTCTGAGACATAGTCACTCAGTTTGTGTTCTGAGACTCGGTCACTCAGTTTGTGTTCTGAGACAGTCACTCAATTTGTGTTATGAGACATGGTCACTCAGTTTGTGTTATGAGACATAGTCACTCAGTTTGTGTTGTGAGACACAGTCACTCAGTTTGTGTTGTGAGACACAGTCACCCACTTTGTGTTGTAAGACAGTCACCCAGTTTGTGTTGTGAGACATGGTCACTCAGTTTGTGTTCTGAGACACGGTCACTCAGTTTGTGTTCTGAGACATAGTCACTCAGTTTGTGTTCTGAGACACAGTCACCCTGTTTGTGTTCTGAGACAGTCACTCAGTTTGTGTTCTGAGACAGTCACTCAGTTGTGTTGTGAGACATGGTCACCCAATTTGTGTTGTGTGACACAGTCACTAAGTTTGTTTGAAATGAGTCAGGTACAGAGGTGGACAGTTACTGATAATTCTGTAGTACATTTACAATCACATTACACTTACCACAGAATCGCTTGCACCAGTTGGAAACTGTACTTCAAAAGCCTGGGATGATGCAGAGCTTCCACTGGCTTCCTCCACATGTTGGCCTGTGGCCCCATTTTGATCCTGGTTGGACACTCCTGGACCACTTGTCACCGTTGGGTCAAGTACTTCTGGGAATTTGTTTTCTCTACATAGCAAATCTGGCTTAGCTCCAACATTACTATAAGCTAGTTAAAGGAAAAGCAGGGGAAACAAATAAGGGTGAAAAGATTCATCGCAATTCAATGTGTATGACAATATTCATGCTCTGATTCAAATTTTGATATCGTTTTGCTTTTTCAATATATATCATTTAGTAATCATTTAAAATAGGTGATAAACATATTGTGTCCTCAATGTCATGTTGTGAATGATTTTTAAAGATTTCTTTACTCTAGAGCAAAAAAAAGGCTTATTTTATGTTTTTAAAAGTGTTACCTATAAGTTAGTAAATACTTTGAATACAATACACATTTTCATTTTGTTCTGATATGTTAATGTGTTGCAGTTGAGTTTTAAAATCAGCAACAAGTATTACTCACAGCAAATGCACTGTATACAAAAATCATAAAATCAGGGTGTGTATCATGAAATGCATTGTATCAGTGATAACATGTATCATTATAGCCCTATAAACAAATGAAAAACCCTATATACAGCTCGTATCACAGGTACTGGACCCAGTATATTCTGCCATTGGAATGCAATAGGAAGTAATGGTATATAAATCATAGCTTACACTGAGGAGGAAAATGTATAATGTAACAGGTATCTAAATGAAAATCCTGGCAGCTGAGAGCAATAGGCCAATTTCAGAAATTTTTAGTCAATATCAAAAACAAGATGGGGCATTCTATGTAAAATTCAAAAGAGAAAAATGGAACAATTTCAATATTGAAATGTCCAGGGCCATTTGGCCCCCCTCCAGGATCAGCCCTGGTATGTATATGCAGTATGTTTTGTTTACTAAAGACATTGCAAGGCTTTTTCTGAGGGCCCTGTGGAGCTGAATATGGGCCCCATTGCCAATTGGACTTATTTCATAATATGGCTAAATTCCCCAAATTTACCATTTACTCCTTAACATTTCCTTCATAACTGAACAATTTTCTTTCCAAACGGAACCAAAAGGCTCATTCCCAAATGAGTGGAAAGAACCTGCATGATTGTCATTTCTTTCACCCAGAAATATACATTTGGGACAGCATAGATTACTAGAAGCTTAAAATATCTTTTGCTGTATTAACTCTAAATATAAAAATCAATAGCTGTGTGTGTGATTAAAACAGTTCTATTCCATATGACTACTTCTTTCCGTGTCAAATTATATATTGACCAAAATGGTTTTGATATATGGATCCAGTTCTTCCCTTAAAAATTCCAACATTTTAAATGTGCAGGACTAAGAACATCTAAAAGGGAGGTAATTTACCCAGGTGAAGTACTGACCTGTTGTGATTAGTCCCCAGGGGGACGGGGTTGCTAGCTGTCCCTGTCCGGCAGTGGGAACTGGTGCATGTGGAACAGGTTCAGCTGCCTAGATAAAGCAGTAAACTTCACATGTAATTTTCATGACACAGCAATATTGGTTAAAGCTTTGAAATTAATACATTGATAGAGTGACACACATTAGTCAGGTAGCAGAATAAGATCTGTCCATCTTGTTATGGAGCTCAGAGCACTGAGGTCCTTGGTTCAAATCTCACTCTGACAATGTTGTTGTATTTCAATTATATATCATTGTGTGTACTTGACTTGGGTTACAAAAACCGGAGATGAAGACAGTAGAATTAAGGAGTGTACATGCAGTGGAAGTACATTGTATTCTGTAAGTCAGAGGTCACAGGTTTGAACCATTTTCTAGCTTTGTTGCAAATCAAAAAAAGCTTTAGTATCTATTTACAGATGTACCAAGATCTTCTTGAACAACTGTATTAATTAGTTGAATTGGTCTGTATAACTTACTTTTGCAATACAGAAAATTACCTTAAATCTAGCATTTTGTAATACAGCAAAATTACCTCAAATCCACCGAAGTCATCAAAATCATCATCATCCATTTGGGCAGATCTGAAACAGTTACATAAACATTAAATTGTTTTGTTTTTACAAATGTAACCCTGGCTAGAGAGAACATCTCTTTAGCTTGATTGGTTGAGCCTCAGACTAGTACGCCAGATGTCCCGGGTTCGATTCCTGGCGGAGGCGTTGAAATGAATAATGACCTCTGTTACACAAAGATGGTTCATTTGATTTTCTGCTTGAGAATTATATCTGAATAATAATTTTTCATTTTAATAAAGTACATTGCATGCATCTTCTCTTAAACACTGAGATTTCAGATACACTCAAAGTAACTAAATTCGTCAAATACATCAACCGTTAAAACACATTTTTTATTCATAACAAATGTGATATGATTATGAATTTTCATGAACCTATTTCCAATATTTTCTTTCATTCTCTTTATAATGCTGTGTGAAATTTCCTCTGAAGGGTTCCAACATTTAAACCACAGATTAATTAGAACTCTTCTGATTACATGACCTTTCTGGTTAGTGTTATTTTAGTGTTTTGTATAAGTCTACCTATATGTGATGCATATATATTGGTTTGAGATGATTTATAGCACAAACACTACAGTTAATTGTTCATGTCTTTAAACTAGATTTTTTCATTGTGTTCAATTTGGTGATAGCAAATGTCATAAAATGCCATGATTAATTTTATCATAAAATGCATTATTTGTAAATGTATATTATTGTGTTGCACCATTCTGCATACAGACATACATTTATTAAAAACACTCAGAATCAAACTGATGACCAATATATAAAATCTTCAGGAAAATATTTAACTTTCCATATTAGATTTCAGTAATGATTAAAGAAATAAAGCCAGATTAAACTTCATTTTTTTCATAATCATTGAAGTGGTAGAAAAGGGGATGATATTTACGTAACCGGTTTTGATCAAATCAACCCGTCCAGACAGACAACAGCAAAACTGAATTAAGTTTATAGCTTGCAGTAATATTTAGCCTTCATGTGTGTTATTAATTATAGATGTTCAAGGGCTATTTGTATCTTTCATAAGTAATAAGTAAGTAATGGACGCAGACAAAACTAATGCCTCTATATCCAGATCTAAAGTTACATGATGATCAGGAGATGTTTCCTATAAAAATCTAAAGTTATATGATGATCAGGAGATGTTTCCTATAAAAATCTAAAGTTATATGATGATCAGATGTTTCCTATAAAAATTTTAAGATTTTCAGTTATTACATATATATAGCCAATTAAAAGCTAAAAAGCATAAACAATTCACAATTTTCAAGTTGAAATGGCATTAAAAGTTTCCTCTTTATATATTGTTTCCGGGCAGGCGCACAATTTTTCTACTCCAAGGCGGTCCACGGACACAGTATACATAATCCTCCGTTTCATTGTTTTCTTTCTGCTTTGCTTCCTTTAATGATACCTTTCTTTGGTTGTTGCGACTCAAAACAAACTAGAATAGGCTGGCTGTTATTGGTTATGTCACTAGACTCTGGTCTCTTTCCCAATCATATAATTTTTCTAGGCCTATCTTTGTTTGACACTCCACAGACTTCTAATAAATTTCCTACAACTTTAGCATTTTCTTCCATATGTTTCTTTCCGTCATGATGGGACTGTTCTGGAACTCCAAATAGACTATGTTGTTTTCCCTCTCTGCTCGCTACATAATTTCAGCAACAATTTTGTATTTGTTTGGTGCAGATTTGTCAGATTTCAAGTTCATTTCCAATTTAGCAATTAACCCTTTTACCTCTCTTTTAAGTTCTTCAATTCTGTCTTCAAATTCTTGCCTGATTTACCTACACCTCTCTTCTATTTTTCTGTCCGTGAGAATATTCTTTTCGACTGTCATTCTGCATGGTGGACAAAACCATATTGTATCTGATTTTGATAAGATGTCCTATTTCTTTGAATCAAAATCCATACATCTGATGCAGAATAGGTCCTGGCAACAATCACAATTCATGTACTTCTTTGCTTCCTTCCAGCATACTGTTCCACCATCAATGCATCGTTGAAGGACTCTTTCGAGTTGAATCCCAGTTTAGAAGCCGATTTCTTGCTACTTCTTGCACTTCCGGTTTTGCCTTTAATCATTGTATGTTATTTGGCGTATATTTTTGTATCCACAAATTCACACTAAATTTAGGATGGTCTCCTGATCACTTCCATACTATATACAGTCTAACCTGTATTAAACGGCCACTGTTGGGAAATTATGAAAGTGGCCTTTATAGAGAGGTGGCCTCTTAATTGAGGTTCCTTATTTTCGAACCCAAGTTGCAGCAATTTGCACAATGACATTTGAATACAGTTTAATAATATGATATAAAATATCATCTGTTATTATTTATCATCTTGTAAGCAAGTAATTTGAAGACAAGCCAATCTTTATTTATGACACAACTATAAATACAAAAGAACAAAGTTGAAAGGAAGGCATGTACAAGTCTTAATGAAGCTATTGAAAAATTCTGAATCGAACAGCCGTAATGTTCCTCTTGTAATTTCGCATGTGATTCAAGTCAAAACATTTTCTTCATGGTTTGGTTTGTTAATGCAAAATCATTCCCAATAATTAATATTTGTTTGAATATATTACATTTACGACCAAGAAAACATAAACATAAATTATTCATTCTTAATCTGCCTGCGTTTTCAATCAAACACTCGATGCCATGGCTAAATGACATCCAGTAAAGACTAGTATCTAGAGTGGGCGGGAACTTTATAATGACATCGAACGAAAAATGACTGTGGAGCGAAAGTGCTCCAGTATTGTATTTGTTGTTCTTACAACCTTCGAAAGGGAACCACTGCGTTGTTTTTGCTTTCTATCCATTAAAATATTTATTTATAAAATTTCTCATCCTAGCTACCTGTTGTCGGGAATGTTTCTGTGTGTTACTCTACTCCTCATTAATATTCATAACCTCAGGTCACAGATAGCCCCTCTCTATTCTAGCAAAATGTTGATTTTACAATGCGAAAACACTCACAATGAAATTTGATCGACAAAAAACAACTAAATGTGGTATTTTTCCACAGTGTATTTATTTCTCTTAATGATCAATATTTTGTTTGATACAGAAACATTTGATCCGATATATCTATCGAACTTAAAATACTGGTTTTCGATACACATTGAGTACCGGTACGGAGCCCTATTTTCAAGAGTTAAAGTTTTTTTCATTTGCTGCTCATATTTCAAAGTGATTTGCCATGATAGTTATAATATGCCTGTATTATGTATGTCACATGCCGTTAAACCGGAATGTTTAATGTTAAGTTTTGAATATCGCGCCATAATTTTATTAAGTCACTGTTCTGGTAAGTTACACATGCACGACCCAGAGAATATAGGGTGGTTTGACAGATGTGACAGTTGGCCGTATTCATTCCGTTTTCAGAGCGTGAAACACAGATTACGGTAAGTCAACTCACATTCTAAGTTAATACTATACTTTATAAATGGGACGTATACATACATTGGCTACGGAGCATCCTCAAGTACGACTGTATCCATGGTGTGACCTATTATAGTCACAAATAAACAACATGGATGTTCTTGATCCTCTGTAAAGCTTCTTATTGCACGATTAGTGCACACACATACACATTACATGTGTATATGGTAATGTTTATGTAAACATAAATATCAAAATCCGAATCTGTGTATGCTAATACTATCGTAACACTTTCATATCACCAATCAAAGCAGATATGATAGGCATTCTTATCAAAAAGTACAGGAATTCAACTATCAAAATCCTTCAATTCAATAAGCTTAAATTTACCAGTTGCTGAAACGTTACAGGGATACATATCTTTTTATCTATTTGTCCAGGATATCTGCATGATACGGTGTTGACACAAGTACATGTATAAATGTAACCAAGCACAAATGTCATCATGTGGAAATATCTCTGCTTCAAAACAATGTCAAAGCAATTCAATGGTATCTCAAAAAAAATAGATCATATGAGATGTGTCTGCATTGTACAACAATGTTTACTTATTAGACATTGTTTGTTAAAGTAACACTTTAGTGTCAAATGTATCGTGTGACTGGTTGTGCTATATGTAACAGAACACGAAAAAAAAATGTAGCCAAAACCATTTCACGATTTCAATTGTATCCAAGAGCAAAATTTTAGTTATGTATACCATTTGTTTAACGGCGTATCAATAATAAAATTATGGACTTTGTCACATACGATGAATTACGCTGCATGAACCTTTGACAACTAGCGACTTCAGACAGGTTTTATTATTAAGGAAGCTAGGCTAATATATGGGTTCCATTAAACTGTGATGTATTCCATTCGATACCATTGTCAGACAAGTATTTCTGTATGCTAAATAAATTGAATATCTTTTGTCATATATGCAGAGAGTCAGGAATTAACATGATAACATCAACAAACTGCAGTCTGTGGTTATGCTTAAACGCATGGAAATGGGAACATGAAATAAACGTGGGGGTCCAGTCAATCGCACCGACGATACCCAAACAACTACTAGTAAACAAACAGGTTTCCAGTCATTTTCTTCTTTTTCTTCAACTCAGTCAATACTAATTATTCTGGTGAGGAGTCTATATGCTTGACATAGCTTGATGTACCACATATCAATCTACATTCGGTGGACAATTCACAAAAATAACAAGATTTACCTCAATGTTTCTCAAACGATATGGAACTTCGAAATTTTGACACGACTCAAAGTATGGAAGCTGACATTTTTACTTAGACTCATGGGAAAGCCATAGGTGCTTGCTTGTTTTATTTTTAATTATTGCTATTTGTCAAACACACATTATTAGGAATTGTGTGTTTGAATAAAGAAAGTTTAACTCTTTTGACAACTGAATTTTTTTCTTGCTTGTAGATAAATTATGTGGAACGACTTTGTAGTATCCAATCAATTTCCGAGAAAAGATTCTGTGCGTCATCTCATCCTTTGAACTGTGACCCAGAATTTACCTTTGGCCTTGACCACGGTTTGATGTGATGGAAAATGTCTCCACTTCGTAAGAAATGAATGGGTGTTTAAACAAATATTAAGGTCTGTATACAAAAAGTGAGTATTTTGTCTTGATTAATATTGTATGCCATCGATCATTATTCATACATAGTTTTGTGATATAATCATTCTGTCACGATTTTCGAAGTGGGTTGGGTCGTCTTTGCCGGCATTACCTAGTTATATTGGCGATAAACCAGTTATTGATTTCTTTTTATTTCCTGCTTCATGTTTTCGATTTCTGGACGAAAAGTAGAATCATTTTGTTCTTTTCGTGCACACAGGCATTCAAATAGAACTACAAATTGAAATGTATTTGATGTTATACTAGTAACTTTTCATAATCGTTCGCAGCAGTGGTGCACCGGTTGACTTGTTTTAATATACGAGTTATCTCCCCTAATGCAAATGTTTGTTTTGTTGCCAATGGGTTCTCGATGTGGTAGGACCTAAATACACAACAGATTTATATATTACAGTTGATGTAGATCCATAACAGTGACTACCACTGATAACAGTTATCCCTAATGGCATTGCCCGTCGATCTGTATTTGAGAATATACACGAACTATATGATTGGACAGTAAAGCTAGCAATGTATACGTTATGTACACATAGGCCTACACATGCAGTCACCAATGTACAATTGAATTCCATTGATCATTTTCATCTTTATTGCTTAAAACAAAATGTCCCTCAATGTAAAATTTAAGTATTTTCAAAATTCTTAAAGTCCAATAAAAATCTATGTATGTAGGACTTAATCAGGATTTGTGTGTAGATTTAAAATCACTTCACATGCATGTAAGCCATAAGTGTATTAACCAAACATTATGTTTTTTATGGCTATGAAATTTAAACTGCTGCATAATGCTACTAGATGTGGACCAAATATGATTTTCTATGTTTTTGAAATACTTAATCTTTCATTTAATTAGCCTGAAGCCTGTATAAATACAATATACCTTCATGAAAATCATCAATATTCAGCTTTTATCTGAATATCAATATATTGATCATACCATGAATGTAAAGGCCTGTCTTGTTAATAAATAAGTGTATTGACTTCCCGTCTTTAACTTGATATGTAATACAGTTAGACTGCAGATGGCTTATAAATTTTCATGTCAAGAGTACATTACTGCCCCAACTTGTTTTAAATTTGACACCCACTATTATTAATACAAATTTATGTAAAACAAATTGGTGTGGTTGTCTTAAGTTCCAGGAAATTAAAGAACTTCCAAAACATTTTCTTAAAATCTTTCATTTAGTCACTCTGAGTACTCATTTGGAGGTTCCAAACTTTTAAGGTGTAAGTAGTTTTCTACTGAAAACTAAAAAAAAAAAAATACAGGAAAGGATTGATGAAGAACAGTCAGATTTTTCTTTGTCAAATTCAACTAACAAATCCAGTTCAAATTTCTTTTGATAGAATTATATGTCACTAGCTAGCCCCACAAAGGAAAACAATATTTTGATATTGTTGCGAATCTTCTAAATAATTTGTTTTCTTTTGAAAAAAACATAAAACCATAAAAATGTACATGCTGTAAATTTATAGAACAGATTTAAACCAAAAACTTGATTCAAACTAGTATTTAGTGGATAAGTATTGTCAGAGAGGGAAGGAATTTGTAAAACCCAAAAGAATCCTGAGACTCCTAAAAGGAAGTAATTCTTACACTGGGAAGTATCCATGTCAGAGACTAGATCCAACTGCACACTGCTTATCTCAAAATATCCTGTACTAACCCCTAACTGATATTATTTTGATGAACTCACCTCTGGTGATCAAGATCAACACCAACTAATGACTATGACAATGTGATAATACAATAATGTCATGATGTAGTATAAATTGTTGGACTCCCTTTAATCAAATGGTATCATTTGGAACAGTGGTTACAGACAATGTGTTTTTAATAGTGTACCACGGAACCTATGACCTATATATAACTCTATTCTTATCAGTACAATTTAAATATTTGCATTATGTATGTAGTGTTGGCCACCTCTATATATACCCCATATTAATCTGATATTGGAACACATATACCTTAAACTATCAGGATTTGATTTCAGCAATTATATAAGTGTGTGCTGGATATTTAGCCATAGTGAAATACTTAAGTGTATACTCCATTTGTTTTGTGTTTTCTCTTTGATTTTATTATTATATGAAAATGTTGTTAACATGAATATATGATGTTTTTTAACCTCAGTATGGAAATACAGACAAAATATATAGGAAATGCTAACACACAATAGAAAGTGATTTGAATTACTATCAATAATAGATATATAGGTTCTTGGATAATATCTAATTCAATTATATATTTGAATTTATCAGTGGGATGAAAATATAATTGAATCTTTATGCTGTCAACTTGATGATGTGTTGACTGGTAGATAAACTATTTGGCATTTAAACTTTGATCGGTAAACTGAAGCTAGATAATATACAGATTACTTTTATCAGCAATTGACGTAATTTTTGTACCTGAACACTACAGACTAAGTTTGTACTCTACTTGGTACCAAGGCCTTGGTAGTACATAATGTATGTCACGGTGTATATGTAATGTTCATATGCATGTATATACTAACATCAAATGTTTGTTCTCTTTATAAAGCCAAGCTTGAATTTGAACTGTTGGAAACTTAAAGTGGTGTAATTGTTTCACTCTACAAATTTTGATACTGTTACTTCAGTGGATGTGCGATTATTTGGACACAATAATCTGGAAAACTCGCATAACAGATGGAAACATTAAGGAACAGAATTCTGTAATATTGTTATTTATATATAATATATGTCTAGACAGAACAATGGAAAGTCAATAGGATTACATAAAATAATACTTGTCAGTGCTGACATTTAAGATTGTTGATATGCTACAAGCACCTACTGAATTTATACATACTTACAATATCAGTGCTGAATCTCAAGTACACAGCAATGTCATGTTTCCGTGGTAGCTCTTGATCCAGAGGAGTGTAACTTAGGATACAATTAAACTTGTGTGAAATTAGTTAAACTGAAATAAAAGGAATCTATATATATGTACATATAAGGTCCAAACTGAAAACCATGTTTGTTCCACATACATATATGATGTAGAAATAACTTTTTAAAAGTTTTAAAAGTTATCAGTGATTTAATCTTGCACATGATTGGCAATCTTTGTCTGAAATAAATGTCAAAATATAGATGGGGAGGTATGGACATACATACTTACCCCATAATTCATTAAATGTAAAAATATAGATTGTGAGTTATGAATGCACTATCCCAATAATTCAATAGATTTCAAAATATTCAATGTTGGACAATTCGATGATTTCAAAATAAGGTGAAGTACTTGTACATATGTATATTCTGAACACCAACATTTAGGCTTAGCCTTGTTGTAATAAATGATTATATAGATCCAACAGATTGTGAGAGCTGATGATGTAAATTCAGTATTGACTGGCTATGTATACCTGTATTTATTGTTGACTATTGAAGGCTAACTGTAGTAAATCAAGTTCTTCAAATTTGTGTACTGATCACAGCTGCTGAGGATCTGTAGGCATGTGTATGTCACATTGTATCCTTAGTCAGCACAGTTGGTTACAACTGTAACAGCTAAAGATGAACAACGCAAGTATCAACCGCAACAAACTCAGGATAAGTTGGTAGTAGGTTTACTAAACTTGTCAACCGATTTTGCCCAAACTGTGTGGGCTTCATCAGGACCCTAAAGCTAGAGATAAAATAACAGGTTTTCATCACCTTCTTCTGCTCAGTAATAGTGCAGGGTTTGGCTGGTAATCTGTGGTCACAGACCGGATGAGTTCAGTTCCAAACAGGCACTGAAAATCTTCTACTGGTTGTGTTATAAGATCTTCTATTCTATAAGATATGAAGATGTTGTCCAAATACATGAAAACAGATGATGAGGTCACAGACCAATACTTTTGTAGTGTAATCATGCTGAAATGTATATCCTGATTCTTGTGGTATTATGACACCCTACCCAGTCTTGACAACCAGTGATAAATGTCAAGAGAGACATTGAATGAAAAAGGTAATGAGAAACTATAAAGACTCAAGTTTAATTAGAGGTGTCTTACAATCATGCAATATATACTACAGGTACAATTGTTACGTCCTACCCACATGGTCTACAGTTAATACATATGTATTTACAGTGACATCTTTGTAGTCAGGTCCTGTGTATCTTAGTAACTATTTACATTTATTGTGATCTAATTTAACATTTTGTGATTCTCATCTGTTCCAGGTCTGTTTCAGTGTGACGGTACAGGCTATATCACTGCCTTCACAACTTGTTCTGGGATTTCTTACACATCTGACCTCATATTTTATTTTAAGAAATCTTGACTGACATTTATTCACATCAATAAATTCAACAGCATCATGGAGGAAGGGGAAACAGCTTCTGCCATTGCAACTTACTTTGCTGGGAAAAACATTTTTATCACAGGAGGCACAGGGTTCCTGGGAAAAGTGCTTGTGGAGAAACTTTTACGGAGTTGTCCAGAAATTGGAACTCTTTACTTATTGATGCGTCCAAAAAATTCTCAGGATATCACCCAAAGAAGTCAGGAACTTATGGAAAAATCTGTAAGTAAATCATAGGGTATCTGTAGTAATTGATCATTTATTTAAGCAATTTATTTAAATGAAAAAATGTTTTTCTGAAGTTATTTCAAACTACATGTATATATCTTAAAAAAGGCATTACCTATCTGATATTTATGTTAGCTTGTTACACACACTCAAACCAGTCAACTTACCAAACTGTATTCTTATTAAATATTTTATAACTCATACTGATGAAAACCAGAGTTCCCCCATTCATATATAATGCATGTATTTATGTATTTGTAGAGATCAAGCAATGTAGAAGATTTTTTTTACTTTGGCACAGAAAAAAAAAATTAGTCCATTCAAATTAAATGATATTTGGCTGAAAACTTTCTGTCCTTGAATTTGAATCATCGTTATACAAATACCAAAAGTGTAGTTTCAAAGTTTCAGGATGAAAACAGTTTCAAAAGATTTGTACACAGTTATTGCATTGACAGAAGTTTTAAGTCAATGTTGGATCTCAGTTCTGAAAATGTATGTCATGTGTTATTGATATTTGGTACATGATGATATATGCAGTCCTTGATCATGGATCAAAGTTACTACTTTCCTATAGTTTATGTAAATATCTCCGGTTAAGATAAACCTCATCATGATACCCTCTTAAATAAAAGGTCAATGTGAACAACTGTGTCATGTTTGAATTTCATACCAGGTACTGATATACAGCATGTACTGATATACATCATCACTGCTTGTACAGTGTATAATACATGACAGTGTTTTTCCTATGTATTAATGGAAAGATTTACATGTAAATTATTTGAAAAATTTACAAGCCAATAATTGTTTTATGAGCAGTTTATCAATTTCCACACTTGACAGCCCTTTTTCAATTTAACAATTCTCTAGCTGTAGTAAAGTTATAAAAGGTACTATACATACCACTTATGTTGTATTCTTCATTGCCAAACTAGTGCAAAAGTCTCTAGCCTGTAAACTCTGTTACCAAAATAAAGTGCAAAAGACTCTAGCCTGTAAACTCTGTTACCAAAATATGTTACAAAAGTCTCTAGCCTGTAAACTCTGTTACCAAAATATGGTACAAAAGACTCTAGCCTGTAAACTCTGTTACCAAAATATAGTACAAAAGTCTCTGGCCTGTAAACTCTGTTACCAAAATATAGTACAAAAGACTCTAGCCTGTAAACTCTGTTACCAAAATATAGTACAAAAGACTCTAGCCTGTAAACTCTGTTACCAAAATATAGTACAAAAGACTCTAGCCTGTAAACTCTGTTACCAAAATAAAGTGCAAAAGTCTCTGGCCTGTAAACTCTGTTACCAAAATATAGTACAAAAGTCTCTAGCCTGTAAACTCTGTTACCAAAATATAGTACAAAAGTCTCTAGCCTGTAAACTCTGTTACCAAAATATGGTACAAAAGACTCTGGCCTGTAAACTCTGTTACCAAAATAAAGTGCAAAAGTCTCTGGCCTGTAAACTCTGTTACCAAAATATAGTACAAAAGACTCTAGCCTGTAAACTCTGTTACCAAAATAAAGTGCAAAAGTCTCTAGCCTGTAAACTCTGTTACCAAAATATGGTACAAAAGTCTCTGGCCTGTAAACTCTGTTACCAGAATAAAGTGCAAAAGTCTCTAGACTGTAAACTCTGTTACCAAAATATGGTACAAAAGTCTCTGGCCTGTAAACTCTGTTACCAAAATATAGTACAAAAGACTCTAGCCTGTAAACTCTGTTACCAAAATATAGTACAAAAGACTATTAATACATTAAATACAATATTCCCATACTTTCAAATCCAATATTTCCCAAAAATGAATAATTTCCTGATAACAGTCAGTGTTTCCAGACAATCAATATATAAGCATAGCTATCTTTCCTGGAAAACTCCAGAAAAGGACCTCTTTTCCTGAAGGGGGAATTATGTAACTTTAGCCTAATGCTACTTACTTTGCTGTGGAAATTGTAGTGGGTAATAAGATGAATAAAGATCATATATTTGAACCCTTACAGAGTCATTAGAAATAATGACCTTAAGCCATATCTACAATTTATAGATTTTTAGATACATTTTCTTTATTTTGCCCTCTGCATCTTTTGCATCATATAGGTAATTACAATTTCATAGCAACATCAGATAATTTAAACATATTGTAAAATGAAATAAATGTGGACAATTTAAGTCCATCATATACATTAAAAGTTTAAAGGATCTTTAACTCCATTCTGTATGATTATCATAACTCATCTTTCTCTCAGTTTCAGATGATTTTTATTTTACTCACTTTATTCTAATTAACACCTCCTTCCTAATAAATGCCCCCTATGTGACAAAATAAATCACTACACATGTACAGTTGAATTATAGAATATCTGCAAACTTGTGATTCCAACACTGCAAAAATCCTCAAGGCAATCACAAATGAATACGATTTCTATTGTCCTAAAATGTTTAATATGAGTTAAAAAGTCAGATCTCGAGTACACAATATTGTCAGGCAAAGTCCCCTCTCTTTGAAGAATTACATCCCCCCCACCCTGTACCCCTTGTACAGATATTAGAATAGGTACTGTGTTTCAGCTGGTATGTGTAATATTATGTACTGTTTTGACATCAATAATCCACCAGAAAACCACATATGGTAATAAGCTCTCACATGCATTATATACCCGGGGTAATAAGCTCTCACATGCATTATATACCCGGGGTAATAAGCTCTCACATGCATTATATACCCGGGGTAATAAGCTCTCACATGCATTATATACCCGGGTATACATCCATGTCTATATATATATATATGCTATCTGCAGTTCAGGAAAACTTTTAACCAAAGCTAGCTATATTTCATTGTTCTGTAATAAGAAATATGTTGACTACATGGGCTTATTCCAGAATAAATACACCGATATATTTCACATACCATCCTTAAATTCTACGAGTACATGCGTATATATTTTTTCTTCCATCTTTCAAATTGGACAGAGTGATTGGTTGCAGATACCGGTAAGATTTTTCGCCTGTAGCTGATAATATATTCTGGAGAGACTGTAGATTTCAGTATTCTTATTGATACTATTGTCAATTCACAATCTGTTTTTCTATGTTAATTCTGCAGTAAATTGGTATTGTATGAAAATAATGTTTTGTGTTTCTGCATGCTTTAATGACTATTTACAAATTATCCAAGTGATCACATTATCAAATGGTGGCCTTGTTTCACATCCAATAAAGGCAATGTAAATGCTCATTTATTCATATTTAACAAGTACTCACATATATGATCAATTTCCTTTGAGTTCATCTATTAAATCTTAGTTTTGTGTTGATGATTTTATATGACCTCTTTTTAATCAGTAGTAATTTTGGGTTTCATTTATATTTTTTAAAAAAACTATATTTGTATCACAAAATTTTCAAAATATATCTTATTTTTCTGTTTTTGCAATATCATGCTACAGTGCACAAAGCATGATATGGCTGTACAATATACATGTGGTACATTAACTAAATATCAGACATGTACTATCATGTAACCATATAATAATGTGTTCACAAGTTTCCTAAGATTGATTATTACTGAATCGTTGGATAGTAAAGACAAGCTTTTTGATCAAGTGTGATATTGCTCTGATACTAGGTCAGGCCGTTCACCAGGTAGTTTATTGGGAGCATATAGATATTGCTGGCAAGGTCATAGGCCAGTATTGAATCTATATAAGCATGGGTTTAAGCAGAAAAGGCAAAATTTTCAAATGCAAAGGAAATTTTCTGGTGACAAGAGAGATTTTCAAGTGTAAGGGAAATTTCCTCACTAAAAAGAGGGAGAATAAGGGAAATTTCCTTACTAAAAAGAGGGAGAATAAGGGAAATTTCCTCACTAAAAAGAGGGAGAATAAGGGAAATTTTCTCACTAAAAAGAGGGAGAATTGTACTCCCTAGTGAATCTTCTGTGCAGTTTTTGCTATAAAACAGCAAATTCATGACATATTTCTCATATGAAATGGAAACTCCTCCGGGATATTGCTGTGCGTATGATATCATAAAGTTAAGATATCACAATGGAAACTTTTAGCCAATCAGAGCTCCACTGGGTTTTATAACTTGTGCAATTGACATAATTTTATGTAATGTTTGTTATTATACAAATAACAATGAATTATAGCACTAACGATATATAACAAAGAACATGGTATGTTAGATTCTTTATACAAAATGTATATATTTGCATAAAAAAGCTAATGATTTTATTTGCAGTGCTGTTTTACCGTTAATTATGAAATTTTTTAATGATTGGTCAAAATTGAGATATTGTCTGATTTTAATGAAATTTGCTATGTAAGTGAAGTATGACATCTGGAACATGATGATGGCATCCATTTACTGATTGGATCAAATGGCCAACTACAGGGTGTGTAACAGCCTGTCCCAAACTTTCCATCCCTGTGTTTAAGTACTTTAACAATCATCATTTACTACTAAAAGGGTAGATGGGGACTTATATATGGGGTCCTGTTATGATGAGCTCTTATTTTCTTATTTTATTTTGTCCAACCTATATATTCTAGTGAACCTAGAATAAGTTCAGGTTTCGGAGTTCCACTTGAAGTTGAGGTCACAATTAGGTTTGATTTAGAAATAATTGAACGATGATATGAAGCATTTATCTGCTTTAGAGTGGGGGCATTCATGTTGTATGCCTGACTGGTTGACGTAATTTAAAAGATAAAATTTACAAATGTAGGTATTGTGTCTAAATGCCATTGTAATCAGGTTGATATCTTGTGATAAATTCTGTTCTTGGGATGTATGAAAACATTGCTCCAGCCTTTGGGTGGAAATTTGTTGACTCCCAGTGGAGTTCTGTTTCCCAGAATTAATAAGGAATGAAAAAAATCACTAATCTCCCTTTTGATCTCAGAAAAATATTAATTTCTGCCCTGGCTTTATTACGATCTGGCGGTAATATAAATTATACCTGTAATAACAATAGATATTACGATCTGGCAGTAATATAAATTATACCTGTAATAACAATAGATATTACGATCTGGCAGTAATATAAATTATACCTGTAATAACAATAGATATTACGATCTGGCAGTAATATAAATTATACCTGTAATAACAATAGATATTTCCATGACTTTAAATTCTGAATTTCTAAGACCTATTTCTGTACATCTTCCTCACATAACTTATTGGAGGAGAGGTCCATCACATGTTTTTTTTTATGAATCATTTAATTTACCTTAATTACAATACCTTAGACTTTACCTGTTGCGCTGCTGTATAAGCATGCATTGGTTAATATATTAAATGTAGAAACAGATGGTAGGAGATTGCTTTTATGATATATATATATGTCCTTATTTCTATTTATATGCTCAGGAATGATAGCAGGTGTTTATGTGTTTCAATATGAGGTTTTTTGTAATACATAAATCCTACTTTACTCTGTCTAATCAATTTTCTTTTTTTATTCTGCACACTTTTTCGGTATGAATCTCACATCATATTCTGAGTTTAATTTCCTTCTTCACCAGGCATTTTAATGGGCAGATACTGTAAAGTTGTTTTTAGTTCACAGAGTTAGATTATTGCACAGATGCCCTGTTGTTTTAGGATAGTTCATATATATATTGGTATCCTTTAGACCTATAACATATATTTCCTTAGACTTTGTTAAACCGTTGGTGGATACATTGTATTTACATTCATGATATCTTAAATGACCTTGAATGTCATGAAATTAAATCTCCCACAAATATTACCAACTATACAGTATGTCTAATGTCCATTTTGCTTACATAAACTCAACACAGCTCATCATTCATCACACCCTTATACACAAAGTATATTGTTATACCTTTACTATTTATTCTCTATATTTTCTGTTGTGACTAAACTCTAAAATCCAAGATGTTTGCCCAAGAGCAATTGTTACCGGTCAACATCTTGATGTTTAGTCCTTTGGTTCAACCTAACACATGTTGACCTCAAACCCAGTCAACAAAGGTATAATGTTATATTCATAATACATGTGTGTGTTTTCAGAGCATTTTATGATTTGTAATACAATGATCACAATGAGGATATTACCACCTGATATATGTTACTCACATGTACCAAAATGGGTCACAGTGATAACAAATCCTGATACTTTGAATGAAACTTGATGTTGAACTTGAACTACCAAAATGACTTTCTCGACAAGAAGTGTTTTGTTTTTATATAAGTAAAAATACAGATTAAAACCTTGCTTTTAGATAATACTTGTATCATTGAGTTTTTTATTAGATATAAATGGATATATACGTATATCAGCAAGTGTCTTAGATCACTAGTTTATCAATACTTTTTTAAATTGAAATTGGTTTTAGTAAACAGTCACACCTGTCTGTAGAGGCCACTCTAGGGAGCAGTAAAAATGACCTTCATACAGAGGTTCAATTACTATAGATTGCATTATATAGGAAAGAAAAAAGTGGCCTATGTATAAAGGTGACCTTAAAAACAGGTTTAATTGCATGTACAATACATAACATTTGCATTAGTCCCGAGACACTGAGCTAGATTGACCTGTGTCAGATTGATCTCTGTCATATGCACAGTATCGCTGGGTAATGAATCAACATTCAGGAATTTTAATGATAAGTTCAATCATTTCCCACTCAGACATTGACATCAATCAACTTATTGGCTAATCTATGTTACTTATTCATCAGTTGTAATGACACACCACATCAGGGTGTGGAGACATACACGATTCTCTCCCTGTGACCTGTGTGATGGTTTCTTCAGGTTAAATCTTGTTAATGAACCTTTTTCTCACCCGTAGTTGGAATAAACCTCACCATATCTTCTTTACATAATGGTAATCTATGCTGCAAGTAAAAAGTAGAAATTTTGGACATTTTGTAAAACTGATGACTGTCCATGGCTTTTATGATAGAATAACATAGCTGTTTTAAGTCAGAATATTGCAGAAAAATATGCAACAATATGGATGTGAAAGTACATATTTAGTTATAACATATGTGTGACTGTTGTAATTCTACAGACATTGTGATATAAGCAGCTTAAGTTCAAAGCCAGAGCATCTAATGGGTGATTATGTTGACCTATTAGCTAAGTACAGCCTGTGTCTGGACTTGGTAAATATAATACTCTGTATTATTCAGTGAATAAATCCATGCCTGGTAATAAGTGAGCCCACTCATAGCAAATGCAGTTCAGTATAAAGCATTGGAAACAGTTTATAACTTTGACCTGTATCATGTTTTTCCCTTCAAACCCAACACACACACATACACACACAAACACACCATCACACACATATAAACACACCATCACACACATAAACACACCATCACACACACTAACACACCATCACACACACAAACACACCATGGTTACAATACACATTAATGATAATAAAGATATTTTTTCTCTTTTTTCTAGGCATTTGAAAAGTTAAGAAATGAACAGCCAGATTTCCACAAAAAAGTCCAACCCATCAGCGGAGACATATCCCTTGATGGTTTGGGAGTTTCAGAAGAGGATGCAGTACTTCTCCAGGAAAAGGTTAATGTAGTATTCCACGGGGCAGCCACAGTGAGGTTTGATGAACCCCTGCGTGTTGCAGTTGAGATGAATCTCCTTGGTATTCGACGAATGGTGAAATTCTGTCGAAAATTTAAGCATCTGGAGGTTTGTTTTTTTTTGTTTCTGTAATAACAATAATAATAGAAGTCATCTGTGATATATATATATGTGTGTGTGTGTGGCATTATGTTGCCAGATATATAAAGGATAAGTAGACTTCTCCATCTTGATTGAATTATAGCTTTTTACATGCTATATAATGATTCCTAAAGTCACCCAAATTAGTCATGTTGTCCTTAACACAAGTGGAATATATAGCATGGAAACTTGTATAAGGAAGTAAAATATTCACTCTTTTCAAACATAAGCAATAATATTTTGGAATATATATAAGTGCCCTAAAATCTTTTTTATCTTTAATTTCTTTTAAATGGTGAGTGTAGTTATGAATAAAGTTTAAATAAACCAGAATTTTAATCCATGAATTAACTCTTAAGATGAGTCTTGTTACATCCATTCGTATGACACCCATGTAAAACGTAATTGTCCACTTTTTTTACAGGTTTTCCTCCATATGTCCACTGCCTATGCTAACTGTGATAAACCTTTTATAGAAGAAATGATTTACAACCCACCTGTGGATCCTCAGAGATTGATAGACGCTCTCCAGTAAGTATTAGATGTTATCATAATACCATGTTCTGGAGTTAAAGATGGCATGGTGATGACTTTGGCTTGAACAATTTATGCTCAAGTGGAAAATTAAAAAAGGAAAATAAAGGGAAATTTTCAAAAAGAAGTGAAATATTCAAGCTCGAAGGGAAATGTTCCAGTGGATTGGGTAATTTCCTTGAGGTATAGGAGAAATTTCCAAACATCTAGTCCTTATTTAGGGTCAAACTAAGAGAGTCATAAAGTCAGACCTTGAGCATTTTTGAAATGGAAGCAATTGTCCAAGATGCCACATGGACACCTGAACTGACTTTTATTTCATTAACACAGTTTATATACCCATGCTATATTGTAGATAATACACTTGTGAATTTTTCAAGGAGTAATTACAGATAGATACTTCAATTTTCTTCTTTTTTTTCATAGAAATTCTGAATGTGTTTCTTCTATAATGATAGCTTCTCTAGGCAATCGGAGACATGATGTTCAGCCTGTGTTCCTGGGAGGGAAGGGGACAGTATAATTTACTCTTGGGATGGCAGTACTCATGCTAAAAATATCAGGAATTCAGTGACAAATATAGCTAATCTTAAATCACTAAGTAGGGATGACATCTCTCCTAGAAAAAATGTTTTACATTATCAGAAATCATTGACCTTACTGGAGGTCACAGAGTCAAAAATTCAAGGTTACTGATAAGTCACCTGACACAATAGTTCATGACTCACTTAGCTGTATGTGAGTTGAATGAGTGAATTTTAAAGGTTAAATTGTACATTTTGTAATATGATTAACAGCTTTTAAGGATTTGATAAACCTTTATTAGGAGCAACACGTTCAACTAAAACATTAACAAGTATCCATGGTATTTAGAAGATTGATTCAACTATTTTGTATGCACATTTTTTAAAATACATTATGTATTTAGATACAACATTTATTATGTACCTATACATTACATACAAGAATTTCTTTATACATTATATATTTAGACACATTATATTATGTATTAAAGTTTTTGGTGTAAAGCTTGCTTTGAAGACTAAATTCTATTTTTTTCCAGGTGGATGGATGATGATATGATTGAGAAGATCACACCCAAATTGATTGGTAACAAACCAAACACTTACACCTACACAAAACAGTTGGGAGAGCACCTGTTGGTGAAGGAGGGATCTGATCTGCCCCTGGCCATTGTTCGGCCATCGATAGTGGGTGCTGCATGGAAGGAGCCCTACCCGGTAAGGTTTCAGTCTAGTAGCAATAATACATATATGTATTACACAATGTAATTTTCTAGAGTTAGTAAAGAATGTTACAATAGAGGAAGGAAACTTGATTTGAAGTAACAAGGAAGAATTTTTATAACTTTTGAATGTAAACAATTGTTTTTACTACCCTTCTAAGAAAAGATAAGACTCTATATGTTATCATTTTGTAACCAAATATATCATGTATATAGTACAAGATACTTCATGCTATTTCCTGATCATCAGGTGATGAGAAGTATATCTATGTGAGTCTTGCACTCATTGCATTCTTACAAACAGTTGATTGGCTAGTTAGCTATAGATGTTTTAAGTAGATTGTTTATGTTATAAAGCTATTCAGTTATACTGTACATGTTTCTAATATTCAAAGTTGACAAATAGTTACTGTGTCACCACAAATAGTATCAGTGTTACCATTTGACACAACAATGATACTTTATGATGCAACAATGATGTTATTTCATACTGTTATGTTAATATTTGTCAAAACAATATTTCTATACAACACTACATGACGGTATTTGATGCTAACAATATAATGTTGCTATTTGACACTACAATGTTGCTAGTTGGCACTACAATGTTGCTATTTGACACTACAATGTTGATATTTGGCACTACAATGTTGCTATTTGACACTACAATGTTGTTATTTGACACTACAATGCTGATATTTGGCACTACAATGATGCTATTTGACACTTAAGTACAATGTAATGGTTTGATACAGTGTTGCTATTTGGCACTACCTTGTTACAATCTAACAGTAATGTTGTGACTTTCTACGGATTTCAGGGATGGATAGATAACTACAATGGACCCAGTGGCCTGTACATTGCTGTAAGTAAGGCATGAACAGGATCTTATCATCACACTGTTACATCTAGGAATTTCAATAACAATACGTTTTTGATTCGTGATTTAAGCCTGATTGATAATCCATCTGTTGAGAATAAAGACTTGCATGTAAATCAGAAACACACATTCCTTTCATCTGAAATCTTATTTGTTAAATTTTATTTTTGTGGTTTGTCTACAGCCATGAAATGATGAACTTCACTACAAAATTAACGTTTTATGTTATACACTATTACTTTGCAGGACATGATAGATATATTAGTCTTTATTTTGAATTCCTATCTAGTTATCAGTTAAAACAAGGCTTATTTTGAGTCAATATTTTAATCACATATTTTTCTGTACCATTACACTTTCACCATTATTTCTATAGACCATAGTCTTAAATGGTTTGGTTTCAACATGCATCAATCAGCAATTCATCTGTAAAACTTAAACACATTTGATATGGGAAATACTATGTATGTTCCTGAAAGGTTTTCCTAATGCTTGGAAAGACATGTTCCCTGTCAAGATTTCACCTAAAGAAAATCCTTGATATAGTTTTATAAAAGATATGAGATATATATTCTGTCTATTTTAAATGATTGCAGGCAGGCAAAGGGATTCTCAGGTCAGTGAAGGGGGATTTCCGTTGTGTGGCAGACATTGTGCCAGTAGACTTGCCAGTCAACATGATGATTGCAGTAGCGTGGTACACATCTGTTGCTAAGCCAAGCTCTACACTCATCTACCACTGTACTACAGGCAGTACTAATCCTTTCACTTGGGGAGAGATGGGTAGGTCTTACTGATAATAGACAAAAGCTGTGTCAACTTCTTCAACTGGGGGAGAAGGGTTGTTGTTACTAATAATAGACAAAAGCTGTGTCAACTTCTTCAACTGGGGGAGAAGGGTTGTTGTTACTAATAATAGACAAAAGCTGTGTCAACTTCTTCAACTGGGGGAGGAGGGTTGTCGTTACTAATAATAGACAAAAGCTGTGTCAACTTCTTCAACTGGGGGAGAAGGGTTGTTGTTACTAATAATAGACTTGATTATCTATTTACTTAACACTTCCACTGTGACAGTCTTTTCGCCTGTAAGTGGACGAGAAAAGATGGGAAAATGAGTAGAGAGGGGATAGACATAGTATGAAGTGATGGGAGAGACTGGGATACAGTGTAGACTTCACCTTGTTGTTGTATGATGTACTTAATTAAGATCTTGTTATGTAATGTGAAGGAAAACTGGTGATTTTATGAAATAGAGCGGTCATTGATATTCTTCTTTAAGTACAAACATCTTGTCAAAGGGAGGTAACCATTGATGAAACACACTTTATATCAATTTTTGGCAATATACATATATACATACTAAAATAAAAGTGCTAGAATTTGTTGAAATAACTGTATGAAGAAGTTTTTAAGGCATTTGTATGCCTAGTTAAGATTGATATTCAAACAGGATCTTGTATTTAACTAGTTTTTATACTTGCATATGTTCATTTATAATATTTGGATTATTTTCAGAGGGTGTTGTGATGAATTTCTGGAAAAAAGTCCCACTGGACTCCTGTTTCCGAAGACCAAAGGTTAGCCTGACCATGAACAGGTATGTACATTGGATCAGAGAAAAAAGTTGTTAAAATGAAATTACATGTATTTGAAATATTCTATCAATACATGAAAAACACGAAGCAAATCATGCCAAACACAAAAAATAAAACAACTAAGATTTAATTAAATAGAGCTCTGTACTATCTTTGGTGTCAAAAAAAAAAGATAAATATTAAAAAATCTTTTTATTTTTATTTTCAGTATGATTCATGACTACTGGGTGTTTGTTAGCCATATGATACCCGCTTATTTTGCTGATCTTGGCTACTGCATCATGGGAAAAAGGCCAAGGTAGGTGATATTTTCTTGAACTAAACATAATACACCTAACCATTAGTTGTAGGAAGGGAGGATTAGGGATAGGGCGGGGTGTGGGGGAGGGAGTGAGGGAAAATATGAATTTGTATATTTAAGAATTTGAATAACTTTGATTTCATCAATTAATTGATTGATGTTTTGATTGATTGGTTTGAGAGTAATATCTTTTAATGATTGAACAGTTTATCATTTATAATTACATAACACTACCTACTACACTACATTGACTGTTTACTTATTAATGGCTTGTTAATTTCTCACCAATTCCCAATTTACTCACTGTTTATACAACAGGATGGTGAAGATCTACAACAAGCTTCACCGAGCCATGAACTCCCTTACATTTTTCACTACACATTCGTGGGAGTGGACATACAATAACCTAGACATGCTCAAGAGCCAAATGACGCCAGAAGACAAAAAAGTAAGTATTTATTATAACAATAAGGATGTTTGTATTTAATCAGACATCATTCTTTGGTGTCTTATACATATAATGTTAATGTACTTGATTTGATACAATCAAATCTTAGCAAACTATTGGTATTTTCAAAAATCCACCCATCTACAAGAATTACTGTATATACGGCATAGAGAAGCTGCAGCTAGCACAATTATAGTTTAAATGTCCTGGAACAAGTCCTTGATTTTCTGGCTATCACTTGAAAGATAAAAAGCAAACCCTTTCATGGGCTTACTGCAAGCAAAATTACTTGTCATTTTCAGAGATTCTACTTTGACCCTCGAGGGATGCACTGGCCGACATACTTGGAGAACTACTGTCTGGGTACGAAGAAGTTTCTTCTCAATGAAGACCTGTCTGGACTCCCAGCAGCAAGGGCCCACCTCAGAAAGTAAGTCTTACTCGAACAAACCTGTATGTAAAACCAAGTTTTAAGCTTGATTCCAGCTCTTCCAACCAAGGAGTTTGTCTACAGTATATATTTTGTTACCTCTCATGGTTATGGCATTTAAAATGGTTTGTTCAAAAAGAAGAATACACTCATAGACTCAAAGTATAGAAATAGTAAGAGCAAAAATTGATAATAGATAAGTATGTGATATATCTTGATAAAGTAAGAGGACAAAGTATGTAGCATGCATGTATTTATGTGGTATGTAGTTTTGAAATGTCTTCATAATACTTGTTTAGTTTTACAATTTAAATAAAAATTGTTTAAATTTTCAATTTCATAATATTGTACATATTTAAGGGACCTCTATAATTTGAAAACAAACATTTCTGTTTCAGATTGAGGAACATTCGCTACACTTTCAACACCATTCTCCTTGTAGCTTTGTGGCGTGTGTTAATTGCGCGGTCGCAAATTGCGCGGAACTTGTGGTTCTTTATCATGGGACTTGTGATGAAGTTTGTGAAATATACTCGTATTACCAGTACCATTGGTGGAAAATGAATCAATATAAAGTAAACCAATGAATGTCTTGACAGCAGACTCTGGGGAGCTGAAAACCATTGATGGAAGGATGAAAAGTCAAGACAGGAAATTCATGTTTGTGGCTTCAAACAAGATCACACACTCCAGCATAATGGAAACACCTACCTGACCAAAAACAGCTGCAGCCAAGACTAATTTATGGAGTGACAGTAGAAGCTGGAGATTTAAATTTTCTGCTAAGTCAAAACTGAAAATGTTTAACAGTGTATATCCTAGTGCCCAAATGTATGAGATTCTGCAAAGGAAGGATTGGGAGAAAAGTGGATGTGTGAAATCCATATCATCATTGATTCCAGTAGGATGTAGAATAAATATTTACGGAAAATTATATTTCAGCATAAATATACAACAAATGTGCGTGGAATAAGGAGAAAATGTTTTATAAAGTTATCAAATCCACAATATCATTGATGCCTTTAAATGTATTGATAAGTACTGTATACATGATTAGCATAATTTCAAGGTGTTGGTAATCTTTTTATCACAGATTGTGAAATTTGGCTTCAAACTTTTTTTTTCTTTTAAGTATATGCTGTAACAGTCACTCCACAAAATTTCACTTTCTAGTCATTTTCATTAAATCTCTGTAAATTTTTTAATCCGTGTTCAGCTTGCCAAATTGAAAAACCCATCTTAATTGCTCCAAATTTGCATATCTATACAAACATTGGATGGGAAAATTGTGTAAAATTTTAAAACATGCAAGGAAAAATCTTCCCATTACTAGAAGAAAAAGACCATCATCCATTCTATAGCTGTTAATGACGTCATATTGACCACTGTGTAAGGTTGGAAAAGGTCAAGCAAGACCAATATCAGGCGTTGTGGTTGTGCACTGATATCAGACTGGCCAGTGTCTCTAGTTATGTAGTGTACCTACTCCAAACCTAAATGGCTATCATTACTGATGTTTACATGTATGTCAATCTCTGAAACAGCAACAGAGATGAAAATGATGACATTTCTTTGCTCTGCCCAGTTACTAACGTAACCATAGTAATACTGATTTCAATTACTTTAATAAGAATAAGCCGCTTCACTGCAGGCAGTTTGACCTGTTGGATCAGAACTGTTCATTTTTCAAATATAATGCATTAAGGATAGACCAAGTGATTGATTTCTAGATAATGCTTGTTATCTTGTTTCCGCTGATCCTGGTACTATCCAGCTCTGCAGTTTCAGGGGAAGCAAGACAGCCAGATTTGACAGACCATTTGTACATTTTAAGTTTTGTTCTACCTATTGTTATCATTATGAGAATTTAAAGTCAAACTGGTTGAACTGAAGACACTAGAATTACATAGAGCTAACATGACTACCTATTTTGAAGTTGACACTAGAATAGGTCATTATCCTGAATAGAGAGAGTGTGTATAGATGACGACCAGATGTATGGAAATGAGCTGCTTTAAGACTGTAGAGTGAATGTAAATACTATTGTATGGAAAATCTATAATACACTGTAAAACCAGATATTTCAGTTAGGCACAAATGTTTTTTGTTTTCCAAAAATATAGGAGTTCTTTGGCAATTAATTTTGTGGAAAAAGTAATTTCTGGCACACGCAATCCACTAGTACTAAAATCTATGTCAGCTTTTATCAGTTTGCTGTTTAATTGACAAATGAATTCGTAGATTGAGAGCACTTACCAATTCAAAGAAAACAAATTCCCCACAAAAAATAACAATTTTACAGTATATCTTTAGAAATACAGTGTATTTTCTTAATTTACTTTATTAAGCACCAAAATCATGTGACAATATACAAGTAATGTTAGAACAAATGTGTATTATTTTTACATGATATGATGATATATATTATGAAAATGGCCAGATTTTCAGGATTTGAGTTTGTTGAGAGCTTTAAGTGTACGCATAATTAAACATTTATGATTTTTTGAGTTTTTCATTCTTCTCATTCTGCCGTGACAAATTTTTAGTATAATTTTTGGTAATATGTTTTTATATTATTCCTATTTCAGTAGACCAAATATAAGCTCTGAACAATAGTAGAAATATATTGACCTATTATGTATATATACCACATTCCTACAACATTGGATTATTTATTCAGTGGGCTCTAGGAAGTACCATATTACTGTCATGTGATCTTGTTATGTATCACGTGATCAGCTGTATCATGTGAAATATTTTTCCTTAAACCAGAATGAAGTTGTTTCCTTTCAAAAAGTGCTCAATACATGTATATGTTGTGAATAATGAGGAGAGGGAATAACAAGTTTTTTCTTCCAAATTCTTTGAACACGTGCTACTTAAGTGCTTTAATTTGCCATAGAATAACATCTTCAATTATGTGCTTTTCATATGTCAAGATAACAAACATGGCTCCGTGTCGTTTTGGTCAATGAAGTGAATATAAGACCAGTTGTAATCATGTTCAAATTTTTCATCTATCATCTATTTTACATAATTAATGATTATTACTGATTTTTTCTGAAATTATTCATTAAAACATATTAATTGGTCTAGTGAAAAAAAAGTTAACTCTTACCAAATTCACTATGATATAGTAGTTTTATCGATCTACACAAATGTATGTATGGTTGAATTATCACCCCTTTGTGCTTATGTTAACATCTTATGCCTGTGTTCCTAGTGATATTATCTGATACATGTAAGAAATTCCACAAAAATAGTTTGATTGTAATATCATAATCAGTTAATTGTTGGACTAGTTTTCAGTGAAGATCTTTCCATATTAAAGCATTGTTTTGTTTTGGTATCATCCAAATTATCATTTCATGGCTTTTTTTGGCATCCACTGATTTTGTATTGAAATTCAGAGCAACTTTGCCTCAAAAATTTTCCATTCGAACAACTCTTACGGAATATGAACTCAGCAAGGTTTTTTTCTCAAACAGAAGCTGCCTTTCTGTGTACAAGTAACAAGAAACAGGATTAAATAAGACTTAAGACCTAAGAATATGACACCTTTAAGTAATCACCTCATCTTTCTAAATTTAATTCCTCCATGACGTATTATAAAATTGTTGAATCAATGCTTCTGTTTAAGAACATAAATCATCTTCCTTATCTGTACTACACCTCCATGACCAAATGTTAGCCATATTGACTTCAATACATTGTCACCATCTTGTTTATTTTTCTGTCTTTTATCTGATTACTATCTTGTCCCACTATTTTCATCTTGAGTGGTTATAGTACAGCCAAAACAGTTGGTAGAATCCCTACCATCTTGTACACTACCTATATCAGTACTAGTACTCTCCACACTGGACGTTTGTCGGGAAAAAGTCACTGTGTAGTCATCAAAATGTCTAACTCAAATTTTCTTTTACTGGTTGTACATTTATTATATTGACATTATCAACGTGAAGAAAATGTGGAAGTGTTCCGAAATATCTGTTCCACGCATTTTTTTTTTTGGGGGGGGGGGGAGGGGAGGGGGGGGGGGGGGGGGGTTGTAGGAGGGGGCTTACTAAATACTATATGGGAGTTTTGATTGCCTTCAGTGCTCTACTTAAATATGCGTTGCTATATTCTTTGTACATGCACACATTTTTAATGTATTTAATTGTTACTGATTATATTTGTCTGCCATATGTATCAGTTTTGATGTTACTTGTATGTGCTTATTTATAATTAAGATTGTCTATGTATTAATTGAGCAGATATTGTTATCTATTTCTCTGTGTTATCTTTTCAAACTATGTATACAGGGACTAACTCCCTTACAAATATAGCTACCAAAGTTTAAATATGTTTTTAACTTTTCTGAATATGCATAGCTGACATGAGAGGTACATCCATATTCCTGATATATTTATTACCTATAATGTGAACAGTGTATTTCCACCCAAGAAAATATTAGCAAAATATCCACACATAATAATATTGCAGAATAGATATCAGCGATAAAAGTGATTTCTTCATTAAAATAAGTGGCTTTCAGTCCTAAACTGATGAATGAAAGCAAGTTACCAATTCTGTAGTCTTTTTCAGCGTAGTTAATTGTTTTGACAATAATCAGTATATAAAGTGTCTGTTGAAGTAAATACAAGGAAATTTCAAACTTCAAGACAAGAGTTTAGTTCTTCACCTTGCACAACCTCATGCTAAGCTTCAAACAACTTTCCATCGGTTTTGTTATCCTTATCATTACACAAAGACAACAGATTCTATAACTCTATATACACAGTGCAGTATCAGAATTTACAACCAGATTGGAAAGTCATTGTCCACCTATGAGAATAAAATTTACCTTCCCCATAAGTGATTTTCGTTCATTGAGAGAATAAAAAGTTAAACAAGGTTGTTTTCATTTCAGAAATGTATGCAAGGAAGTAACCTTTCACGTTTGGCAGATGAGTAAATTAATTTTTTTTTTTCAAATTATAGATAAACTAAGAGAAATCTGTTGTCATCATGAAATTATGCCTTAACAGTTTCCAATTTTCGTTGGCACTTTAGATTTAGAATGTACAAACTGGAAAACTGTTTATTGGAAATTTTGCATTTACTTTCACTTATATTTATTCATCACAGTAATCAGAACATACATCTGTGATTTTTTAAGGTAAAAATAATAAAATCTATCCAAAGATTTGAATCTTTGTTCTTTTGTTATAAGAGTAGAAGCCTATAGTTTGACTTAAATGGAAGACTCCAGAGCACTAGTGCCCCTAGTGGGCGTTGTTTTTATGCACAAGAGCATTCCCAAGTCTTTCTACGAAAACCACTGAAAGTCAGTGTTTTTTTATCAACATTTCAACCTCCCTAACCATTCTATACTGTCTAGTTCTGCATGTGGTAACACTAACATTATGGCTTTATTCAATCCTCAAGTTAGACACAATTGTAGCCATAGACCGCCACATTACAATAAATCTTATACTGTCATGTTTAAAAATCGGATTGATACTTTACTGAAACCATTAGGTGTCCATCACGTTTGGACCACGTTTTACTGCTTCCTTTAAAGAAAACTAACATGAAGATTTGATAAAATTACTGATGATGTGGCAGAATTCAGGCTTTCTTACATATGCAACCTATCCGTTCTTCAGTTGCGATTATCCAGTAACTTTCCAATCGGAAAACTCCGTCCGTTAATTGTAATATGAATTATAAAATACTTATGGATTCGTTGAAAGCTATGCTAGAGTGATCGAAACAAGAACATGAAACGTTGGATTCACTCTCTGAGTGGGTCAAATCCATTCCGTCTATCATCTTAAAATAATCAACGGCATGAAATCTGAAGTGAAAACAAAACAGGTTAGTGTTCCATGATCTGATGTTAAATCCACATTTCAAGGTTTACATGACAGGCAGGTCACTGTGCCTGCAGATAAGGCGTCCAATAACTTGTACAGACATCATTATACTTCCTGCATACAGAAAGAAATTGACCTATATATTATGCGATCTTCCCTGAAATACTGGATGATCATGCTTCAGTTATACAGTAATTGATATTGCCTAATAACGATAATGATACGGACCTCCCCGGTTTGAATAGGATTCTTAAACTTCACTAAAATCCACATAAACAGCGTTTTATTACTGGCCCGTCTATCTGTTCAAGCAAACCTTTGACCCTCTGTTTTCAAACGAGGCTGAATTTATAGCAAAGAATATTCCACAAAGATCATGTTCTTCATGTTCACTTACTGAACATGCCCCATGTATACATTCACCAGAACTCTTCAATATCTGTCGTCACCAACAATTTGTCACCATGACTTTTATGGTGCCGTAGAAATCATGTTAGGCTTATTGAGGAGCTAGCAGATGTGCATGCTAGTAAACACACACTACCTGCAAGTAATCAAACAGTGCTTGTTATTTTGATATTATGATGTTTTCATGCGAGTGTAACTTGAGAGCAAGATTTTATGAAGTTACCCGAGAATAGAACTGTCAAATCTGGAAAAGAATGTGACACTAACGATCCCGTGAAAACATATCTTCAATAAGTTTATTATGGGATCGATTTAGGGAAATTGTTAAGCTACATTTGAGGTAACCGAAGTTAAAAGTCATGAAAATACTCTTACAGATTTCAGCGCAGAGAGGTAAAATACATATAAATATAACGAAGAAACATGCCAGACATAAAACTGAATGTTACGTATGTCTGGATAATTTGAGATGATAAATGTCAATGAGATAAGGTTCTTTTCTTAGTATATGTACTTACACTTAAAAACACCCCTTTGTAATTCACATATTTACACACACTAACATGAGATGTACACTACTCACTCACATCCATCGTACAATTCATATTTCTACAAGAAAGGAATGAGGGACTTCTTGTGTAGATATAAAACTTTATCTGTAATAGAATTAGAATTTCATTATCGACTGGGTTACAGATTACAGTACTGTCACGTAATCTCAATCCAGTCCAACATAAGCACTGATGCGACAAATCTTTTGATCCCAATTTACTATTGAAAATATTTCGATAAAGATTAGATAGTTGAGATCTTATACAAATTGATATAATGATTTTGTAAGAATACTTTGACATAACAAACCAGTTTATCTACTTATCCTGAAAGGTAATTTGTTTTGTCATTTATCATGTCACACACCCGTTTTGAATAAAATATGGCTTACTATCATGACTACAGCTTTGTTATATGGTTTTCTTATTATTTTCAGAAACCACGCTATTTCAGGATTTAGAATAGGTTTGATGAAATTTAATTTCTTTTTTCAATATTAACACAGTCTGTTTAGTTGAAAACAAAATCCATTTCCTAATCGAGTGAATCATTATTCTTACCGGGGTTAACTTGATATGTAATCCATAAGGGCATGTCCATCAATTCTATAATAACTTTGAATAACTTCATCTTTCTTAATATCTTGACATTTACTGTTACATTTAGAATTAAATTACAGATTTCAATTACCTGGATCTTTTAACGACTATGTCACTTCTATATTTGTAACTAACTGATTATGCATTACCAACATATTGCCGAATATCAAGTGATATTACTAATTATCAATTTCAACAATGTCTCGCCACCCAGGCAATAGTCTTGTGATCGGAAAAGTATGGGGTTCCAAATACGAATTACAGCAAGCACTACAGGCAATGAGCAATAGGCAGGACGCTGTCGTATACGGAGTTCCATATACGAGTATCAGTAAGCCGGTTAGCATGGAACAACAATCACTACAGGCAATGAGCAATAGGCAGGACGCTGTCGTATACGGAGTTCCATATACGAGTATCAGTAAGCCGGTTAGCAGGGAACAACAATCACTACAGGCAATGAGCAATAGGCAGGACGCTGTCGTATACGGAATTCCATATACGAGTATCAGTAAGCCGGTTAATAGGGAACAGCAATCACTACAGGCAATGAGCAATAGGCAGGACGCTGTCGTATACGGAGTTCCATGTACGAGTATCAGTAAGCCGGTTAGCAGGGAACAACAATCACTACAGGCAATGAGCAATAGGCAGGACGCTGTCGTATACGGAATTCCATATACTAGTATCAGTAAGCCGGTTAGCAGGGAACAACAATCACTACAGGCAATGAGCAATAGGCAGGACGCTGTCGTATACGGAGTTCCATATACGAGTATCAGTAAGCCGGTTAGCAGGGAACAACAATCACTACAGGCAATGAGCAATAGGCAGGACGCTGTCGTATACGGAATTCCATATACGAGTATCAGTAAGCCGGTTAGTAGGGAACAGCAATCACTACAGGCAATGAGCAATAGGCAGGACGCTGTCGTATACGGAGTTCCATATACGAGTATCAGTAAGCCGGTTAGCAGGGAACAACAATCACTACAGGCAATGAGCAATAGGCAGGACGCTGTCGTATACGGAATTCCATATACGAGTATCAGTAAGCCGGTTAGCAGGGAACAACAATCACTACAGGCAATGAGCAATAGGCAGGACGCTGTCGTATACGGAATTCCATATACGAGTATCAGTAAGCCGGTTAGTAGGGAACAGCAATCACTACAGGCAATGAGCAATAGGCAGGACGCTGTCGTATACGGAGTTCCATATACGAGTATCAGTAAGCCGGTTAGCAGGGAACAACAATCACTACAGGCAATGAGCAATAGGCAGGACGCTGTCGTATACGGAATTCCATATACGAGTATCAGTAAGCCGGTTAGTAGGGAACAGCAAGCACTACAGGCAATGAGCATTAGGCAGGACGCTGTCGTATACGGAATTCCATAGAGTCGAGGTTTCGAATTGATACAATAGGTATATTTACGCTGTTGGAACCCGGCCATGTCATTCTGGAACGTTATTCTATCGGAATTACCTTGAACAGCTTTGACAGGTAAGTTTAGTTAACATTACTTTACAGAAAAAAATCATTAACAATTTTTTTTATTTAAGAATTTCTTTGGTATCTATAAATTGAAACCACCTTTAGATATCCTTTCTTTAATATCTATAAATGTAATCAGGCAAGACTGTAGTGTCAATGAATTCTCTTTTCTGATAAAAAAATCCCTTACTTGACAATTCTTTGTATTTGAACTTCACGTTTGACCTCGCGAAGAAGGCCATATGTCTTGCCTCTGAAATAGATATAGCAAATTTGAGTTCAGAACATTTTGCTAAATTTCCAAAGTTTATTTATGCGTGCTTTTAATATACATGTTCAAAGATATACGTACAAAAAGCTAATTTTCAGAGAAATTACAGAGAATTCGAATAGTTTTATATGTGAACTACTTCTGTGTTTGAATCCAATTGACTAGTTTAACACCACGAGTCTATAAAATTATATGATATTTACAATATTTGCCTTTTTAGACTGCTTCCTAAATGTGTTAATAAAACGACTTATTTTCTACCTACAGATACATTAGCATAGTTAGAAACTTCCCCGAACCTGGAAAATTCACTTTCTTTTTTAGAGTAATTTCTCTTTTGTATTAAAATGAAGTTAACTCTCTTTGACGACTGCAAAATAATACATGTATGCATCGGGGTTACTATTTCCCAACTTTCTTTTGGAACTATTAACTTTCGAACTTTTCGTATCACAGTATAGTAGAGATTAAGTTTTTGTGAAACGGACTGTAATTGCTATTAGTAATCTTATTTTATTTTAGTTCTTCGGGATTGTTTGCTATTAAAGTAAACACTGTCATATATAATCAACACATAGTGGGTATTTATATTGTTATTTCTCGTCTTATAACTCGCGATGGTCAACTTTCAAGAAATTGTTTAAAACGCGAAAATCGTAAAAATGATAAACGAAACGAAAGAAATAATTTTCGTATGATGTCTAGCTGTGTTGTAGTCGTCATTCTACCATTTTTTATTTATTAATTTTTTTTTCAGATTGAAAAGTTTCGGCGATGTCTACCATTGTTCAGATGTTTGCGTTTGAGGATGGGCATTTAGCTGGCGGATACAGCACTCAAAACTTCATGGAAACTAGGAATAATATTCGCCTCCTTATGTTATGTGTGGAAATTTGTCTCAGGAACATTGCTTGTATGAGTGTTTTCTATAACACAGTCACCAGGGCTTGTAGACTTCACAGCAACGTGTTCTATAACTCCAATTTCTTCGTCAGTGAAACAGGATGGCACTATTACAGAGCAGTCGGAGGTAAGTGACTAGATGTATCTGGAGTTTCATTGTTATGAAACTGTTCTCCGTTTGAGAACTTAACATTCAGTTAACTGACATAACACATAATGCTAACACGCCCGAACTATCTAGTTTTTTTACACTTGAAAAAGAAATTTTCAATGATCTACATGTATACTATAATATACTAAACAAAAAAAGAAAGGTAACACTACTTTATTCTGTGATTAATTAATTAACCCCTTCATAAATCCTTACCAATCATGTACGAATAAAGTAATTGATCAATTCTGATAAAACTGCAGTCATGGTTCATTATAAAACTTTGCGTTCAGTTGATTTTATTCGACTGTAAAGGACGTTGGGGTCAATTTGAAAGGTAACACCATTAGTAACGGGTATGGCCACCGTTAGCGAAGTATACAGTATTGCAGCGTCGTCGCATGGAACTGGTAAACCGGCGAATAATTCGAGGAGAGATGTTGTTCCATTCAGCGATCAAGGCTTGGGCCATCTCCTGCAAGTTTGACGGCTGATTTTGACGTTCTCTCACGCGTCGCCCAAGAACGTCCCAGACATGCTCAATCGGTGACAAATCAGGTGATTTAGATGGCCAATCTAACACCTGTACATTATTCTGCTGCAAGAAAGTTCTGCTGACGCGACTGGTGTGCGCTGGTGCGTTATCCTGTTACAAAATGGCACCAATGCCATGGCGTCTTAAGAATGGCAGAACCACTGGTCTTAAAATTTCGTCCCGATATCGAATGCCGGTTAAATTGCCATTTAACACAACAAGCCTGGTACGAGTCCCCCCACAAATACCACCCCAAACCATTACACTTCCGCCGCCAAAGCGGTTCCGTTCTGCGACGCAGCAGTTCGCAAAACGCTCCCCTCGTCGCCTCCACACTCTGCGCCTTCCGTCACCCTGTTGCAGACAAATCCTGGACTCATCTGAAAACAGATTATTGTTACATTGTCATAAGGCCCAACGACAGTGACCACGGGTCCAGTTACGCCGATTATTACGGTGACATCGCAACAAATTGGGTCCAGTGTAGGGACGCCGCGCTTTCAATTGGTAGGCCCTCAACCTGTTGCGGACTGTTTGGGGAGACACACGACGCCCAAACAATGTCCTTGTAGTCTCTACTGCGGTAACGAATCGATTGCGCAAGTGTATCAATCGTATACGACGGTCATCCCTGGCGGTCGTTTTACGGGGTCGGCCGCTTTAGGGACGATCGGATGTTGACCCAGTTTGCTTTAAACGACTTACCAACTGGCAAATTGTCTTAACACTGCAACCAAAATGCCGTGCAACTCGACGGCGAGACTCCCCGGCCGGATAAAGTTGATAGATAGCAAGATTCGGTGATTTCTAAATCCTAAGGATCTAAGGAACAGTTGTCAGTTTGAATGTTTATGAAATTCAAGCGAAGAAACAAGTTATTTGCAGAAAACCTCGTGCAGCTCTTTCGCTAATACAGGCTTTCACGCTTGAATGATTTTGGTAACCCCCTAGGATTTTGTAATGTAAAACATTACCATTTACTGATATTGCACAAACGTCATTTTGTTTTCACTCATGTACAGGTATTCGCCAAGGAAACATGTTAACCTTTCTTTTTTTGTTAAGTATATATATGTTAGGTGTCAAGTTATCGTTTGATGAATATTAAATATACGTTTCCGCTGGAAGAATCTTTAAAGTCACTTGACCTTTTTCGATACATTGAAAAATCATTGATCATCAATTGGAAACCGACTTTATATATATTTCGTTATATAATAAAACTTTCTTTGTTATTGTCTTAGCGTGTATAAATTCATATCATCTAACTTAGATGGAAAGCAAAGATATGTAACGAAAATCGTGAGCTTGTATGGACCATAATTTTGTTCCGTGGAAAAGCAAAACAATGTAATATATATGTATCTTTATACTTTAAATATCCCGATCCATGATGCTGGCTTGTTGCTGAGAATATCATTCCCGTTAGCATTGGATAGTTCTGATATAAAAAAAAATAAACGTGTTCTTATTCTGTTTTTAAAAAATTGAAGTACCTATACAGGAAGTGGTGCAAATTGATGTTTAACCGCCCTTTGATGTTTCCGCAAATACAATTACACACCTGAATGGTCATAAAGGCGAAATGTAATTTTGACGCTTGCAACTAGAACCATGTCGATAAAATTATATCTGACTGATGGAATGAATTGATTGGTGTGTCAAACCGAAATGGTTGATGCTGCGTGACCTTGTTTTTATTAAACAAATCTTGCCAGTAAGTTTCACATGAAATAGAATTCGTTGTTACGCGACTCAATGCCCTCACAACAGCGTGGATTATGCGAGGACGGACATCTGAAACAGAAATTACTAAATATATATACTGTATAACTTCATAAATATCAAATTAACATGGAATATTTATGCGTGATGAAATTTCTAACGCTGACATGTTATGAGGTGTTGAAGCTGGTGCGATCTTGTTTTTCGCCTTTAAAAAAGTCGAACGATTTCTGTAACAAATCCATTATCCTTTTCTATATATCATTTTTATTTGTACTAAAGTATTTCATGCTTTATTCTAGTTTAGCTTTTGAGACTGAATGGGGATGTTGTTTTATAATCGATAACGATGGAGATAACAGATAACAATAAACAATTTTCTTCCTCTGCTATCTAATCGCCACTTCATCGTCAGTAGCAATATGTTTGTTTGTGAAAGATATTTCATTCAGCAAATTGTATTTATACAGATCCTAAATGTGATGTCTATAACGGATTTGTCCATCAGCGAGATGAAGGACTTTGTTATCGGGCAGAATCTGATCTTCTCACCAAGACGCTTGCAGATAGCGCATGTTCAGCAAGAAATTCCGCTCTAGCAATTCTGAACAGCGAGAAGAAACAAAATGTAGTTGTCGGCACACTCAGTCTTATGTCTAGTAAGCATATACAATTTGTACAATATAATATACAATAATTCAAAAACATGTCAAATTGTAAAACACTTTATACATCTTTTCACTTAATTTTGATGTAAATCAATAATGCATTGTAGATTTTCGTGAAAAGGCTTAAATAAGGTTTAAATCAAAATAGTAAATATCCATTTGAAGGATCAGGAACAATATTTAGACAAAGCAAGTATAAATGGATATAGGAACGCAGGTTTATCTTTTATCAGAATGCTCAATAAATATTTTCAAAAAACAAATTTAAGATATCTGTCTGCCAAACTACCATTCATATAAATAAGTAAATAAATAATACACCGGACAAACTAAGATTTATTTCATTATTGCGTTACTAAATTGTGCTATTTATAAACATGCATTCCTTTTACCCATCTAGCCACAACACCAACCCCTGTCCAGATGTCGACTGTTGAACCAGTTCTACAAGGGTGCTACGCAAGTGGTCATGTTGATAACTTAATCTTTCAGCTGCAGGATAACGCTATAACAATAAAGATGTGTTTCGATATTTGCAAACCGCTGGGAACGACGCATACTTTGCTAGAGGTTGGTTTCATTTTGAAATAGTAATATGTTTTTGTATTATATATTTTTCATATTCATAATCTATTTCGTAAATATTTTAC